TAAAACACGAATTTTCAGGGAAATCTATGTGAATATCGTTCTTCCAATTTTGCAAAGAGTTGTATTCGCAATCAGATCTGAATCATCCGCACTGAAAAAAAATTACGTGCTATAGAGACATACCGTCCGTTCCGGGTGCTGGAGCCGTAGCTTCGACTGCTTCGGTTGCAACGCCCGGAACTTTCGGCTTCTGAGCCCGGAACGCGGACGGCATGTCTATAAACCCGTAAGTACGGCTTCCACGGCCGGCGTTTTTGTTTCAGTGTGAAAATTTCGAAAAAAAGTACTCGAAATTTAGTTAAACAATAAATATTTTAGGGGTGAAATTTGGCAACTCTTGAATGTTCATACGGCGTTTTTCCTTAGTACAGCAGTACTGTGTAGTGCACTGAAAAAAAAAAATCTCGCTGTATTTACTACGAAAAGGGTAAAATTACCAAGAATTCACGGTTCTATTTGATCCCAGTTTTTCCTTGGTAAAATTATTGACTTTCTCAGTAATTTTACTGGACCCCGGAAAAAACACCAATATTTTTTATCGACTGTGGTAGAATTACTGAGATAAAATGGCAAAGTTACCGGGAATCGGTTACCAATAAAAGTGGTATTCTTACCTGAGGAAAACAGTAAAAATACCGGGTTTTAGGTAAGCTTACCAGTCTGTCTTGGTAAAATTACCAATAATTGGTAAAAAAAAGTGAGATGGTATAGGTACCAACGGACCTTGGTAAAAACGCCGAGAATTTTTTTTCAGTGCGTATGAAGAGCGACGCGCGCGGCGACTGACGTGACTTTGATCTTCATCGTGTGCACTTGCACCTCGCTCGCCGAGGGGGCCAAGGGGGCGGGGGGGCTGCTCTGAAATCTGGAATCTGGAGCGAGTGTCTCGCTGGAGCTGTCGTTGCGCAACAGTCAACGACTACAACAGCGAGGTGCGTTGATCGTTGACCGGTCGCAACTCCTCCGCTGATCCTACTGATCCTGCCCTAATCCCTCGCGCGGCTTCACGTCACGTCACCACGATGCGTGCGTCGCGACGCTGCCCTCTCTTCTCGGACGACCACATTTTTTCGAGGATTAATCGCGTTGATTTAGACCAAAAAATTCAACCATTGCTTACAAATGGAATATGGTATCATTGACCAGGGGGTGTGCCCTCTGACCGCTACGCGGTCCAACCCCCTAAGGGCGCTCCGCGCCTTTCAAGAGGGCTCGCTTTGCGGACTCCCACGAGTGAATATGAATAATGCCGTGCTGAAGAAGAACGCTGTATGAACATTCGAGCGTTGACGAATTTCCTCCGGTAAAATGTTTATTTTCAAGGAGAGTTATGATCCTTTCAAGGATGAGTTATGATCATGACTCTCCTTGAAAATAAACATTTTACCGAAATTTTCAGAGAATTTGGGTCTGATTCTGCTTTAAAGTCCCTGAAAAATTGGAGGAAAAATATTCACAGATTTCCCTGAAAATGCGTGTTTTAACGAAGGAAACTCGGTAACGTCTAAAGGCTCATACGGCGTTTTTCCTTAGCACGGCAACGGGCTCGTCTAGAGGCTTTTGCCTACATCGATAGCCGTAAAAATCTTGAAAATCGACGCGCAATCCTCAGAACGAAATGTGACAACAAATGAACCCATACATTGTGTGAAAGGAAGAATCCACAGCTTTATGACGCATTAAAAAAAAAGAGAAAAAAAAAAACAGAGAAAAATTGGTCATATTTACAAAATATGAATAGAGTGGGCTCGCCTAAGGTCTAATGCGTGCGTTGATAGCCGCAGAAATCATATAAATCGGCCGCGTAGAGCGGTAGAATGAACTGCGACGGTTAAAAAACAAAAATGTTGACGGTCAGCAAGCGCATAGTAACGATAGCAGTTCAGACGACTGTTACTAAAAGAGTGCAACAGGGTGACTGTATGTATAGTGAGAGAATGTAGACACAGATCCCATGGAAATTATTTAGCTGAAAGGAAATTGCGGCGATATCGGTTGGGAGGGATTTGTTGTCAGCCTCTATACTTTGCCAGTAGAAGTCTCGGATGAAAAGGCTGTTTAGGAATGTAGGGCACAAAATTGGTTTCATAACTGAGTAAATACGCCTATCTCAGTAATTCGGGCAAAGCTGAGGGTGATACAAGTAAATGAAAACTCATTTTCTCCTGATTGCGTCCTTTCTCAATTTATGCATCTTACATGCATTGACTACAAATTTCTTATGGGATGTTGAGGGAGGTGCACCTCATACGAGGAAGGGTCTGAAAAGCAAAATCCCAACATATCCTCACAAAAAGGACACGTTCTGAGCTCGAAGAATCTTCCATGAAAAATTTTGCTAATTAGGACGTCATTTTCAAAACTTTTAGCCGTTCTGCCATTTATTCGGTTCTTATGAGCTGCATGAAGCCCATAATGACTGGAGGAAAAATGACCCATAGAGTAAACGGACCGGACTTGACACATAGATAATCAAAGTCAAAGAATACGCCGTTAAAAATTTCATCTCTTTATAATGGAGAAATTACCGACTTTTCGACTTGGATCATCAATTTGTAAACTTTTCAGGGCATGTTTGGCATCTGCGCCTGTTTAGTGTCTGCTATGCGTTTAATTGTTTCCTTAATTGGACGTATTTCTATCAAACGGAACTATGTGCATCTTGATGTGAGCCCCGTTATGCACATGTTCTTATGGGTTTCAGGGCTCACGTCTTAATGCACATAGTTCCGTTTGACAGAACTACGTCCAATTAACGGGCATCTATCTCGGACGTCGCCTGTCGGGAGTCGAGTGTAAGTGTAATCGGCCAGCAACTAATCAAACTTTGCGCTTTCCTTCTTCTTCTCCGCGCTTAGCATCCTTCAAATATGAAAACACCTTATTACACGAGCAGATCGCAGAACGGGTGGCGGTAATTATCTCATTTTTTACACCGCAAGTAATGTAACTCCCGTTGAACTTGAATGGGATGTCGTCATGGCAACACGCAAAGTTGCTGACGGATGTCACTTTTGGCTTTTGAATGAGCTTGGGGAGGGGGAGAGGTAATGAATCCTTCTTTTTTCAGATTACTAAATGGAGTAATGAAAACTGCGCTTGTTTTTTTTAAAATGATGCCTAATTTGTTAGATAAGCTCAGATTCTGTTTCAAAAATTATCAGCAAACCTATACTTGAGACCTGAATCTTGGATCTGAAAATTGAATACTTAAAATATTTAAAGAGGTGTAAATATGCAAATGGTGACGTTGGAAAACAACCATTCTAACTGACGCCTTTATTCGCGTTACAAATCAAAGTGGTGAAATGGCACACCTAACAAGAGGCTAAAGTTTTTAAAATCACTATCTCGAATCAATAGGCATTTCTAGAATCTAGAATAATTAGACGTCTACTAAGTCTATGACGTGACCACAGCATGAAGCACCTCATAGTTATCATCCAAAAGTAGCAATTTAAAAGAAAATAATAATCAGTTCAAAATGAAAATTGCAACTTTTAACTTTTGAATGAATTTTTAATAGTTTTTCAAATACTATTCAAATCAGATAACATAAAAAAGCCGCATACTGAAGCGTAGATGAGACACCAAATGATAAAATTATGCCGATCGGTATTTGATTAAGTTCGTCAGTGATAATTCCGACTTTTAACAATTTCTCAGCCTTTTCAAAAATTGCAAAAGTATACGCCATTTTCCGCCTTAAATCATAGACATGTTACAAAAATAGGTATTCAATTCAGGCAGGTCTAAAATTTTAAAAAAAATTTTAAATAAATACAAAATACAATAAAGCTTTGTTACTAATTGTTCCCAAAGCAGTGTGATTTTTCTTTTAATTTATAATCACTGACCACCCGATCAAAAGCAGTATTTGAGGAGGGCTTAAGGGTCAATTTCTCGATGACCTTGCAATCAAGCATTGACTTTTTTGGGAAAAGTTCAAAATCTCAGGACGTATTGCAGGACGCGCGTATTGCAGGATCAATTAAAGTTTTACATGTACTCTGAGCATAATGATTCTTGAATTTGCCGCCAACAGTTTTTTTTTTTTTTTTTTTTTTTTCTTCTAAAATTCAATCTGCGTTTCTCTAGAAACAAGAAGAAAATGCTTAAGTTAAGAAAATTAGTTGCCTGACTCGAGCAGCATCACCCTTGACTCACCGAAAATATTTCCTGGCAGCAAATTCAAGAAATGTTTTGTATTTTTACCCAGCATACTTTTTCCCGTGCTCTTTTTGCAATCTTTTGGTGAGACGGACGCAAGAAAACCCTGCATTATATCAGTGCCTCAGAGCCAAAAGGTACCCAACTCACATTTTTTGAAAAATAGAGTTAAAGGCATTTTCAACATCTCCATGATCGGTTCCGTGAGTGTGGGAAATTCGGTAGCCCTTTCTTACGCCGGTATCATGAGACCCGGAGTTTCAAAAATTGCGATTTGCATTGAAATCAATCGGGCCGTCGCGCGGTTTTCCCTGATATCTCGAAAATACCAAAATGGAATTAGGTATACCTATTTTTTTATTTTTTTGCTCTTATTTTTATTTATTTTCAGTTTTTTAATTTATTTTCTCTCTCCTCTTCAAGTCAGAGATCAATTACAAAATAGAAACAAATTACAAAATTTTAGAAGGTATACCTTTTGGCTCTGGAGTACTGATATGTTACAAGTCGCGGATACCACAACAGAATGCACAACTGAGATAAAGCACTGCACCTGCTAATCAGGCAATCGGCTGATCGAGCAATCAGATCTGATCTATTTTTTTATGACAGCCGATCAGTCGATCGGGTAATTAAAACTGCCGGCACCAACTCGAATTGCGCGTTTGTGCACAATGGCCACTCTTCCATATAAGCCAATGTAAATCGTAGCGAGAAGCAGGCGATAAAGGTCAGAACGAAATCTGATTAATGGTGCGCCAGCAATAAGGGTGGAGATCGAATGTGCGTACGTTGGCGCGAAAGAAAGAAGAGAGAGGGCATCGTTGGAGAGAGACGGAACGTTACAAAACATCTCGGCGACCTCCAAGTTGACTATATATACTAGCCCAACGCCGCAGACACCACCAAAGGTATCTGTACATTTTTAACTTCACCACCAACACTCCAACAAACAAACACCAAAATGTACAAGATCGTAAGTACTCATTTTTCTCACTGTTTTTTGCCCCGACTTTGAGCCCTGGTTTCGCGATGTGCTGATTTCGTTTCGCGAGTGTCCGCAAAGTGTCTCGACAAACGTCCGCGTCTTTTAGTGCTGTAGTGATTTTTTCAAAATTTCGCGTTTTTCGGTGTGTGTGTGTATGTGTGTGCTCGGCAAAAGTATAACGTGAGATGGATTTCTAAGTGCCAAATTCCTGGTTATTTTTTGTCACTTGTTATTGAGAAAATCTGAATCGTGCTAAATACATTAAAAAAAGAAGAATAGGCTGCTGAAAAAAAAATCCCATAAAAACCATATATCCATATTTAACGAATATGTGACAACATCTACCTTAAATTCATTGCTTAGTTTATCAATAAAAATATAAATAATGTGGTTAAAATAAAATTAAAAAAGATATAATATTACAAAAAAGATTAAATAATTTAGAGCTTTTTTAGGTTTTATAGATTTAATCTCTAAGATAGTTCATGGCATTAAAAGAAACTAAAGAAAAATGAAAAATATGATAGTTATAAGACAAACAAAATTATGAAACTTTGTCACAAAAAAACTTACTGCGAGGATTAACTATTCCTAGGAGTAAATTGTATAAGCGATTAAGTCGCAAAGCTTCAGCTTCTAATTATTCAGAAGCAATTCAAAGAATAAAGCAAATTTTTAGCAAATTAAAAAAATTTATCACAACGTTTAGAAAATGATTGCATCAAATCAGAATCTAAATACCCCCATCTCCCTACCTTTTCTTTTAAAAATAAAATTTCTTATTTCCTCTTTTTGAAGCTATTTAATCTTCAGCACTCAATTCTTCGAATATTTGTAACGTCTTTCTTCAAAAAATTAAAATATTATGCTGGCTATAGCTCCTTGCATGAGTTACTAAATTATGAATTTAATAATTTGGGGAAAGCTTGATCATAAGTTAATCCTAAGATGCGTGCACGGTTTCTGCGTTTCACGAATTCTCCATCTCTACTTTTCTACTCATGCGTCAAAGTCTCCAAGTAACTTTTACGTACCAATGCGCGCATTGCGTACCGCGTCTTTCTATAATGTTTCCTCCCTAAAAGCTTAATATCGCAAAAAAATCGGTTCATCCCAATTTTTCCTAACAAAAAAGTTAATTAAATTATTGTTGTAAAATATACTTACATACAAATTTATCAATGCTGATTTTATGGATAAAGCTCAATTAATAGAGTAGATCATATTTTTTCGGTACTTTTAAACTTTTGAGAGAAAATGAAACAATGACATTTTTGAAAAAATGAAAAGAAACGTTCTAAATTATGACAAGAGAGTCCATAATTTAAAAGGATTTTTGAGTGAGAGATGGCGAAATAAAAAATAATTTTCTCAACCCTTCAACTTGAGTCTACCTCTGTATTTTTAACTCCTCCGCATTTTTGATCATTTAATAAGTAACGAACGACTTTTCAAAAGAATTTACCGGTAAATGCAAACAGAAGTATAAATTCAGCTATTGCAGCATATAAGCTGCAAGGAACATCAGTAATATTTGCTCGCAGTATTTAAAATGAGTGTTGGATGAATGCCGCATTATATTTTGGCAATTATAGCCTGCAAAATTAGTATTTAATTTTTTTGGTCCGTCAAAATCGCAGTTTATATTCATGGGGCTCTTTTTATTTTTCATTCTCTTGAGTTATAACTATTCATTATTTTTTATTCTTGATTTCATTTTCTGTCAAAAATTATCGATGGGGCCACTATTTTATCGACAATTTTGGACGAATAATGGAAAAATTTGTGACGGAGGCTGAGAATCTGAATGTTTTTTTTTTTTTTTTTTTTTTTTTAAATTTTTAACGACTGCAAATCGTTCAGAAACGTTTAATTTTTACATGATTTTGTGATCCAAAATTTAACCAGGCGATAGAGTTTAATGTAGAAGGAGTAAAAAATATAGAATCTTTAAAATTCTCAGCATACTTGAAGCTAATTTTTAGTTGTGTCCCTTGCAAATTCTCATAAAAATACCGGACAGGCGCGATGTTGGAAACGTGCGGAAATTGATTCAATAATTACTGCAATCCATCTTTCATCAATCTTTCTCACCTGGAGTGAGTAAATGAGCAAGGTTCAGCAAAAGAAGACTACATTCATTTCAACAAGAGTTCTGGTATTAATATACCATTTTATGACATAGAGACTATGAGGTGACTGTAATCATCTTCCGTAGAATGGTGTCCGTGTCCTGTCCGTAACTAATTCATCGTTCAAGTCTCCACTTCAGCCTCGTACAAACGATCCCGTTATACGCACCAACACACACACACACCCTTACTTGCGCATACGTTCGAACTCGTTCGCTCGCCTCTCACCGCTTGCGATTTTTATTAACCACGCGTACGGCACAAGTTTATGAATGACTCGAATCTGACATAATAATCAGTATGTAAACGAGGCAAAATGCTAATAACTTAGTCCATATCCCTCTGTCTCTTGTTTATCTCCTTTCAAAGGCGTTTCTGTGTGAATGAAGTCTTGATAGTTCAGCATCGCTGCACATGACTCGAGGCGATACTAATTGCTACCAACTTCACTGGAAAGAGAGATAATTTTAGTTTTATGAAACTCAATTTTGCTTAGAATTTTAGGCTGGTATGCATTTCACGAATGAGGTCATTTTTGAAACAATTAAAAATGCTATAAAAATGCCTTGTATAGACTTTTTAAATGTTTCAAAAATGACTTTTCAATATTTCGGAAAGTATTGCGTTAAGTTTACCCGATATCGTAGGGATAGAGGGATAAATTTTGCAGTAGATTGCGGACATATTTAATTAAAGCCTCCTAGCGTGGTATTTACAACTCCAGTGTAATAATAAGTTTAGATACCGAAAGGATCTTCTTGATAATTTGAAGGTAGTCAAACAGACGTCCATTTACCATAGATCCGTTGTGCTATTTTGATCTATTCATAATTTTGAAATTCCTTAGCCCTCTTTTAAAATTTTTTTGAGGTGATAAAATGTCGCCCTTCTCAAATAATTTGAAAGCACTGAAAAAATGACTTTTTAATTAGCTGCTCAAAGAAAATGATGATAAACTAGAGCGGGTGGCGTTGGCCTTATGATACTTTTATGGCGCAAAATTTTTTCACAGATCAAAAACCAATTTTGTAACCAGTTTCGGATCGATTCAAATTTCAATTTGCAGAGAAACTAACAATGCTTTGTCTTGCACTTTTGTCTCTCTTTTTTGAACGAGAATGAACACATTTTGTTCATAGATTATTAGACCGTTTTTGTCACGACTGCAAATTCACTTTTAAGGTTCCGCACAAACCATAATACAACCCCCGATTTATGATGGAGAGGTTCGGAGTATATAGATAAATCGGTCGAACTTTAAAGCGAGCGTGTCCATCACTCGTATCTGATGAGCCTTAGAGTACATGCACTCATATGAAGCTTCAGGCACATTAGAAAATGGACTTGCTGGGTTATAACATTGACCGATTCGAATAAAGTCAAAGGAGTTGGTGACAAAATAACGGTGGGAACGAGCAAAGTTCACACGCACTTGACGCGCGACCCGATTTTGTTGCTATAAATCGTGCTGCGGCACCAGCGTTGTCTCATCGCTGAAATCTCTTTCAGGAATCACGAAGAAAATGTTTAAAACATTTTCTTTCAAAATCAAATTCCTCACTTTTTTGAGCCTTTGGTTTTAAATTTAGGGTTAAAATTTCTATTGGAAATATTTTTATGACACTCCTCTATAAATTGGTAATAATAACTCAAAAAATAAAAAATTCAAATAACTCGAATAAATCAATGAAAAAACTAAAATTCAATGTAGTGAAGAGTTGACGTACCTAACACTTTAAGTTTCAGTGAACGAGGGTGATATTTTTTTCCTTAGACAGGTACATTCAATAGGTAAATACAAGAAAATACGGAAGTTTCTCGATTGCAACGTTTGAAAATTTACGATTCTGTTTTTTTTTTTTTTTCCACGAGGATTACTAATCAAAATGCTATTTCCCAATTTTATTGTAATTTTAATTTAGAGTAAGCGAAGAATATTAACGAAGATTTATCAGAAACTGTTGGTTGCACTGGGAAAAAAAACACATTGGATCTAGGGTCCAGACTCTTGAAAACATTAACAAGAAAAAATACTCTTGATTCAATCAGATTTTTGCTTAAATCAAAAGAAAATCCGCTCAAATTAAGAGGCTGGTTCTTGATTTAAGCAAAAATCCGATTTAATCAAGAGAATTTTTTCTTGTCGATGTTTTCAAGAGTCTGGACTCTATATCCAATGTGCTTTTTTTCCAGTGTGGTTTTTCCTGGATAAAAAAATGAGTGGAGACTTACACCGTCGCAATGTGAGCTACGTAATTCTCGACGTTGGTCAGCAATATTTTGAAATTTTATTGGAATTCATACGGCGTTCTTACTTTTGGCAGTATTACCCTCCACACTCGCTGACTTGGGAGCCCTGGCGCGGCAATAGCGCCACCGGCGCGCGCCGAGCTTCGACGTCGACGTCGCGACGCCGAGCGCCGCGACGCGCGACGTCTCTCCCGCGAGTCAAGGTCGCGCGCGATGACCGCTCGTACGTAGCGTCCTCCGAAAAGTTTCAAAACCCGCCGCGTCGCTGCGCAGTCACGACGCCCCGATCCGACGCTATTTTCTGCCGTGCTAAGGAAAAACGCCGTATGAACCTTCAGGAGTTGCCAAATTTCCTTCGATAAAACACAAATTTACTGGGGGAAATTGTGAATATTTTTCTTCCAACTTTTCAGACTATTTTGTTCGCAATTTAATCTAAAATATCCGAGAATTTCAAATAAAAATATGCATAAATTTCGTGAAAAATACATGTTTTATCCGGGGAAATTTGGCAACTCTCGAATGTTCATACGGCGTTCTTCCTTAGCGCGGCAGTTTTATTATTTCAGTTTTCAGCCCCGAAGTTCGGACGACGCGCTTTCGTCATCGGACCCTCCTCGCTCGAGCTTTGCGATTGCTAAACCCGGGACGTAATTCGGTGCCGTTGCATCCAAGTCGGACGCATTTGGACGTCATTAGGACAATGCGGACCATGACACGGAAAAGCGCATACGTGCACACTCCTCTGCTTTGATGGATGCGCGTGTTGAGCCCAGATCTGATAAGCGTGGTTGCGCAACCGCTCGGTGATCGAAATGTAATTCTTTGGCAATGTATGAATGTCACACGCTTTTGCGCGTCATTATAGGTCGGTATCGTTCGCGTCGCGTCTTTAGTTTCGAGTGGAGTCCTTTCTCGGGATGACTTGAGGCAGACGGCATCTCTGAGTTACTCCCTTGCTTTAGGCTAGCCCTTTGTTGCAAGCTGGCGAGTACAGCGTAACACCAGCTGTGTTAGATGGCAAAAAGCAAAACACTTTTAATAATAACAAGTGTCGAGGTAATTACAAGTGTATAGGGTTTTCAAAACATTCTTCTATCTTATAATAGGGATGATCTTATTTTCAAATGTCGTGGGGAAGACGTTGATCTTGGCGTTGGTACGAACGATGAAAACAGAACATTTAATGAGGGTAGAAAGTACTGTTTAAGAGAAGTACACCGGGCTTGTAATCGATAGAGAAAGTGATAGACATAGCGGAGGAAAAGGGAAATTAGAGTGACTTCGTCGGTGGAAGCGGGCAATTACAATGGACAAAGATAGTAAGAAATAGACAAATTGACGGGGAAACACACGGGATCCTTCTCATCATTTTCCCCCTTAGCCTAGAACTACCACCCGTTTAACTAATGGGGTCACTTAATTTTTCCTTTATCTCCTTTGTCTATTGCTTTTTATCTATTAAATTAAATAGACTCACTATAGGCAACCCAAGACTTAATAGTTCGCCCATCATTCCCCCTGCTTAATTCAAGAGAATCACCCGTTTTAACCAATGGATCACTTCCTTTCCTTTTATAACGTTATTAGTCTATCACTCTGTCTATCAATTTTAATAAGCAGCCTATACGATACCTACAAAGGATATCCACGTCTCCCCTTAGTCTCGCGTCCTTTCGCATAAAGTACGTATGTATGCTAATGAGGAGTGACTTCATGCAAAACTTTTATTGGAAATCATCGGAGACTTGAACGCAAGGATAGAAAAGAAATCCGGATTTCAGACGCGGCGCGGTATCCACACTTAAAATAGCTCTATTTTCTCTTTGTCCTCTTTGTCTATTGCTTTGTCTATCAAATTCGATAACTGGCTCGCAGCAGGAAATCTAAATACTGTCGTCCTAAAAAAGAATGCTAAACGAACATTCTGATGTTGCCAAATTTCCTCTGATAAAATATTCATTTTTGAAGAAAGTTGTGTATAATTTTTTCTTGAAATTTTTAGAAGCTTTAGATTGAATTATGAATCCGATCCGCATCCCTTGATTGTCAATTCTGGAAGAAATTCTTCCTTAAAAACAATTTTAAATCTTTCGCTGAATTTGGCAGCTGAATATGGAAGTCAACGATCATCACTCAATGACTGAAATTTCGCAGATTCGAGTTACTTTTATCCAAATGTGTATCAAATCTTTTTAAATAGTTCAGACAAATCCAACATTATCCAATGGTCACTGAGCCTCGTCGCTGAGGCTTCAGGCCGATGACTTCCTCCTTGACGCCACATTCAGCTCCCACATTCAGCGTGTCATTCCGGCATATCATTAAGTGGAGTGATTCTAAAGCCCTGTGTCCACACGTCAAAATGGCGTCAAAATAGAAGCTCAAAGTGAATCGATAAGTACGATCTTTTCGCGATTGTTGATCAAAAAAGAGCCGCGCCGCTCTATTTTGAGCTGCAACACTCATCAATCGCATTGAGTCCCGACTTCGAGCCACTTATCGTTGGAGTCGATTCACTTTGAGCTTCTACACTGAAAAAAAAAATCTCGGTGTAATTACCAAGAAAAGGGTAAAATTACCAAGAATTCAGGGTTCTATTTGATCCCAGTTTTTTCTTGGTAAAATTACCATTTATGGAATTGGTAATTTTACCGAGTGTTGACTTTCTCGGTAATTTTACTGATCCCCGATAAAAACGCCAATATTTTTCATCGACTGCGGTAGAATTACCGAGATAAAATGGGAAAGTTACCGGGAATTGATTACCAATAAAAGTGGTATTCTTACCTGAAAAAAAACAGTAAAAATACCGGTTTTTAGGTAAGCTTACCAGTCTGTCTTGGTAAAATTACCAATAATTGGTAAAAAAAAAGTGAGATGGTAAAGGTACCAACGGACCTTGGTAAAAACGCCGAGAATTTTTTTTCAGTGCATTTTGACGCGTGGAGACAGCGCTTAGCCCTTTTCCTGTTTTCCAATTTGATTGTGTTTTTGAAAACGGTGATGATTTCCTTTTTTCAGGCTCTTGCCCTCTTCGCCCTCGTCGCCGCCGCCTCCGCCGGCTACGTAGCCCCCTACAGCTACCCAGCCTACCCAGCGGCCCCAGCTTACGGGTATGCAGCACCCTACAGCTACGCCCACGCCCCCGTGGCCGCCCCAGTCGTCTACAAGGCCCCCGTCGTCGCCCACGCTCCCGTCGTAGCCCACGCCCCAGTCGCTGTTGCCCACGCTCCAGTCGCCACCTCATACGCCAACACCTACAAGGTAGGCATCACGCAGTACCGACAATACTCCCGTACTACACTGGGAAAAAAAGAATCTTAAATTTGCCGCCAAGAAGTATTTCTTTTTAAATCAAGAATTTTGCTGGTTAATATAAGCTACTTTTTTGCTTAACCCAAGCATAATTTTTCTCGAATCAAGAAAAAGTCGGCTTAAAGCATAAGATAAAGAAAATTCTTGGCGGCAAATTCAAGAATTATCATGCTTGATCCAAGCTACGCTTTTTTTCAGTGAGGGAAAAACGCCGTATGAACATTCGAGAGTTGCCAAATTTCCTCCGATTAAACATGTATTTTTGACGACATTCATACACATTTTCTCTCGAAATTTTCCTATATTTTAGATTAAATCGCGTACGAAATTGTCTGAAAATTTTAGAAAATAATATTCACAATTTTCCCATAGTAAATTCGGTTTTTATTGGAAGAAACTTGGCAACGTCTGAAGGCTCATACGGCGTTCTTCCTTAGCACGGCAGAATAGCCCTCAGGGACTCCGTGATATAAAACAACTCGTCATTTTGTGTCATTTTTGGGAAAGACACTTAGATCAGGGGCGGTTTTGCGAGGTGGCAACACTGTTTTTTTCTCCATTTAAATATATTAAAAAATATCGATTTTAGGTGAGGCGCGCTGCCTCGTCGAGAATCGATTGTTATACATACATTTAAATGGAAAAACAGTGTTGCCGACTTTCAAGAACTGCTACTGATTAAGGTGGATTTGCAGCTTTTGCGCAATCTGGGTACGAGATGAAGCCATGGACTCAATTTTTCAACTAGGGACTAAAATCTCTGTTTCATCCGTAAAAACACTCATGTGCTTAGGAAGGACATTTCTTTGCTCCTCTGTTGTAAGGACGTATCTCGGTTTCCACTTGAGCCTTGTCGTAACTAAAACTTCTTGTTTTCTGGGACTTATGTGGAAATAGAGGTACGCCCTTACGTCAGAAAAACGGCGATTTATGGGCATATAGAAACTAATGATATATACGTCCTTTCTCAACTGAGTCAGAATTTGTAGTACCTTATTGTGAAATGTAGTCCAATTTATAATTCAATGATTGAAAATTACAGGCAGATAGCATGATTTATGCGATGGGGTGAATAACTCATTTGAATATTTGTTGTGTTGCAGGTCTCAGTTAAGGCCCCAGTCGCCTACGCTGCCCCCGCCTACGGCTACGCCGCCCCCGCCTACCACGCCCCCGCCTACGCTCCAGTAGTCAAGACCTACGCCGCCCCCGCCTACGCCCCATACGCCGCCGCCCCCGTGTACGCTCACGGATACTCCAGCTACTACCACTAAGCTAGTCGCCTGAGAGCCACCAACACTGCCATCAACCACTCCCCTCAACTTCTTTTCCTTGAAAATCTCACTTTTTAAATTAATTTAATTTATTCTCAGCCATTAGTGTAAATAATTTGCTCAAGTTTCACAATGAAAACCAAGTCATGTAAAGTATCATGTTTTATTAACATGTGAAGAATAAAACAACCTGCCATCGAATACGTTTTGATAATTATTATTCCGATGTCCTATCTATGAAAGTGAAGCGCATGAGAACTTAAGCACATGCATCAATTATTGTGCGAAACCGCTTTTGTGTATGAAAATTAATATGTAACCGGAGACTAAACGGACCCCGAAACAGTGGCTTGGCGCGCTGAGCGATATATCGATTGATATGCCATTTAAATCTATGGAAAAGGATCGATAATTAGGTTGTTTGCAACGAACACCTTAATAATCGATTCTTTACCATAGCTTCAAATGGGGAAATATCGATAATCGATCATCCACGCTTCGCTACTGCTCCGAAAATCCTCTGGAGTAAAATAATAAATTTTTTTTATTAACAATACGTCATAAAATCAGGCAGAAAGGCTCTCAAAATGGAAACTGACATTTAGTGTAACGGAAAAATCTATTTGGGTCCAGAAATGATACATTTTCAGTTCTTGATGCACGCCTTCTTAGCACGAATGCAGCGCCTTCAATTTCACGATAGGCCAACGGCAAAGCAATGACGCAGAGCTGTTTTTGCTTCCCAGATATCTTTCTTACGCGGAAGTTTGCCAGAATAATTTTGCATTTTTTCACAGGGCCTTGAGCTCATAATTATCTTTTAAGGTTCCTTTAAATGAAATTTCATTAGGACAACATTTTGCAATGAGGAACCACATGACGCTACAATCTCCTTTTGAATTGCATTATTTAGCGGACAAATTATTGAAATGTATAGACAAAGCTATATACAGAGAGGACAAAATGGTTATGGACGGATCCTATTGGTTGAAGCAGGTGGTTGCAATAGATAAGTAATACCTACCTTCTTCTAACTAACCAATCGAGATACCCTGGAGAGTCCATAATTTTCTCCCAGGGTACATAGGAACCACCCATTTTAAGCAAAAGGACCGTTCCATACTCTCTATGTTTTCTTTGTCCGTAGCTTTTTTTTTTTTTATCAATTTCAATAATCAGTCCTCAGACATGATCAGATTTTCGAATGCTCGTGAAAAATATTTCCCGGATTAATAGCTCAAGTGGCATCACGGTATCCTGTCAACAAAACACCTGTTTAAATCGACAAAGGCTATCGTGGTCCAACCTGTAATTGCTGAGTTATGACACGCTGATTCCTGATTTAACGTCGCGCGCAATCAGCATGATCAGTTGGAGGTAATGCAAGGTTGGTATAGAAATCTTTACCTCTACGCGGTTCTACGAGCATGGTAAGTTTGGAGTTTTAACGATCGACGTAATCTTATTATTTATTAGTGTCTGATCAACGCGGCGTAACTAACGGACTGGCATAACTCTGTGTGGGTATTTTTAAAAATGCTTAAGCCTTGACATCTCCAACACCACGCTAATAATTTTAAATTCGTAAATAACCCGGGAAAAGTTGCATTATTTGACGCTTAATTCAGAGATTTATAACGGCAAGGAAATTGTCATTGTTTTCTCAAGTAAAAACACACATACGATTAGGCTGTAGAGTTTTCAGACACCTATGGGGAGTACTACAATTGAAACTCTAAGCGTAAACCCAAAGAGGGTTTGCTGAAAAAGGTAACTTCGAGGATGAAGAAGAAGTCCAAGGTGTAACGTTGGATTTTTTTTTTTTTTTTGTAGAATGTGTAAGCAGTAAACTCCAAAAACGAGCAATTTGTATGGATTCAAAAATTAAAATAAAGTTTTCCGTAACTTTAAGCAGTTCGAGAACCTGCTGGCTCTACTTTTTAATACAATTAGATTTTTCAAGAGCAATTGAAACATTGCGGTGATTCTAAACATGTCATTTTTTTGAAAATTGACAACGTTGCAAGAACAGACCAGACAAGACTATTTTGTTGTTTTTATTTTGGTAGTTTTTCTAATTAACAGCGATTTACAACATAATTGAAGCTTTTGAGAAACTTTAAAAGTCGAGATAAAACAAAAAGCTTTCCTATTTGTAGACAGTCTGTAGCGTTGCTTCTTATTTTATTTTTCTATTTTTATCTATTTTCATCTATTTTTATTATTATTTATCTATTTATTTATCTATTTATTATTTTTCTATTTTTATATATTTTTATCCATTTTTTTAAGTAATAGCTAATAACCGAGATCTGCGACAAGAGACTCTATCGATGATGTAACTACAAAAATGCGTATCCCGGTTGTAGTGTTTCGGAATCTTCGTTCCTATATTATTTTTTTTATTTTTTTAAATATTTTTTTTTTAATTTTTTTTTTTTTTTAGGAGACCAAACCAACATCATGGCTTCAAGTTTTTCACAGAATATTCTTCACGAAGAAAGGAAAAATCACTGGAATTTTCAAAAAATGACGTTCAGGAATTTTCCACGTAGAAAATAAAGTGTGACAGCACAGGAAATCATGCAACGTGGCAATAACCGGGCTGCGCACCTCTGCAGTTCCACCTTCGATGTTACGTCAAATTAATGAAAATGTATTAATATCAGTTTTAAAAAAAAGTAACTCTGCAATGAAAAAAACTGCAGTATTCTGATAATTGAAAAATTATAGTTCAAATATCCATAAAAAGTCAGTAGATTGGATTGGAGACTTAAGGTTCGATTGTAACACTAAGTTCAGTAGGTGAACCTAGAGTCCCTTTATACTGAGAGTCAAGACAATTCGGCTCATGGATGTCACAAACGGGAATAAAGATTACAGAAATTGAACGTTTTTCGTAATCTTTGATCGGCCCATTCTCAAATGCCTTTCTCCGTTCCTCCTCTCATTCCGTTTGAAGCTTGCCGAACCCGTAATTCCCTGGTCCATTTCAGATTATAATCTTTGCAATTGGTGAAAATGTAATCTTTATTCCCGTTTGTGACACTGTGGAGGCCTAAAATACGGGAACCAATCAGAAATGGATTCAAATTGTCTTGACTCTCAGTATAAAGGGACTCTAGGTGAAACAAAGTAAGCTATAAACCCTCATTTCTCTATTTTTGAACTTAATACCTATATTGCTCCTTTTCTTTCTGTCTGCCAAACGCATAAAAAATAGCCCCCCTCAATTTAATCGCGTGATTGTGAAATGAAAATTTCAAGCTTGATGGTTTGTATATAACTAACACCTAAATTCATAAGAATCTGTTCTCAATTAGAAAGTATAACGTGGCCAACCTTAAAATGACCTCAGCTGATTTAAAAATTGCATGACTGGACTCCTCGTTTCATTGCCCGAATTTTTCGTTTTATTTCACAAACGATACAAGAATAGTACCATTTCAGTTCGTAATTTTAGACCCATGGTGTAAGTAACGCCTGAGTGCAACTATTTCCTCATCAACGACTGTCTATAGTGCATAGAGAGAAAATTGGACGTATTTCTATCAAACGGAACTATGTGCATTATGACGAGAGCCCTGTTTTACATATATTCTTATGGATCTCAGGGCTCATTTAATGCACATAGTTCCGTTTGGGCAGAAATACGTCCAATTGAAGGCGTTCCAGCTTAGTTTTACCTGTCCTCATAGTGCAAGAACGCGCGGTTTTGCGGTTTTGCGGTTTATAGAGGCATTAATCGCCGCTGCAAAGGCATTTGACTCATATAATGAACGTTTCACGCGTGCTTCATAAGAAAAGAGCCCTTTGAATCCTTTATAACCTTTTTGACTCCGAATAAATAATCATAAATCGTCGTGCTTTTCTCAGTTGTCACATTTCTTTCAAACTGACATCGAAGTACTCTGCTGTGCTATAAGGAAGAACGACGTATAAGCCATCAGAGGTTGCCAAATTTCCTTCGACAAATCAAAAATTTTCAGGGGAATTTGTGAATATATCTTCCTCCAATTTTCCAGGAGATTTCGTTCGTAATTTGATCTGAAATATCTAAAAAATTTAAGGAAAAATATGCATAACTTTCTTCAAAAATACATTTTTTCCTCGAGAAAATTTGGCAACTCTCGAGTGTTCATACGGCGTTCTTCCTTAGCAAGGCAGTACTGCAGAATAGACTTGTGCGGATATTCGGCTTTCAAAGTTTGAATCATTTAATGTTCTGGAATATAGAGATAAACGATTTCTTATGTATTTTTGAAATATAAAGTAGTAAAAATGTATAATGCCTAATGTATTATATAAAGGAGNGGGGGGGGGGGGCAGCGGTACAATGCGGCGCGGCGGTTTGCACGTGGGTAGAGAACGTAAAAAGTATGGCTGTATGGCGTTCGCAAGTGCCATAAAGTACAAGACTTCAAAGCGCCTTCAAATCGGGCGAAGGCAACACAACATACCTACCTGGTTGTGAGACTCCTTCCGTGGTGCACGCGGTTTGTGCTGTTGTTCTCGTGCCATCTTTCACAAATCTAGAACAAACTTTGACATGAGTAAGCGAATAAAAAATGCATTTCAAATTGTTTTTCTTTTTATTCAGTATTTCAATTGCTGATCCCTCTCATTTCTCAAAAGAACATAAAACTTTCGGGTAAGAATAGAAAGCGTTAGACCAATAGCGTGCCGATGGCATGGATCTAAAACGGAGTCTAGACTACGGTGCCTACAGCGCAATAGACAATAATTGTACAACCGTGGTTTTATATTTTCTATGTTGAGTGATAAACAATAGACGCAACCAAGCTCCTGCTCGTGTACTCTAAAATGTTTCTAGCGAGGATAAAAATTTCAATGAGGGAGAAATGTTTGCCATTTTGAAAATAAAGTAGTTGATGTGACCAATGAATTCAAGTTTGCGGTTAATACAACATTTGTGCTGCGGCCGGCTAGCGCATACACAAGAAACAATGATAAAAGGCAAGAGGAATAAATAAAAAGATACATATATATACTAAATAATAATGACAACCGAACAAGAAAATAGCAACATGAGCAAATAACAAAACACTTAACCGCAAACTTAATTACCGTACCCGACCTAACATTTTGTATGCTAAGGAGCTAGATGAGAGAAGTTGGCCCAAAGGGCCAACTTAATTAGGGACTCACATATCTCGACGTTACGAATCCGCGATAGTTTTTCGAGTGAGAGCCCCCTTGAATCCACCTAGGCATCAGGGTTTTTTTTATTTTTTTTTTTATTTGCACAAAATAACTAACATTTGTACAGAGATGCATTTAGACCTAAAAAAGTGTCTTTAAAATGCTTATTTTAACTTAGCTTATAAAATACTAGCTATTACTTAATTTTAACTTATTGAATACTACCTATAATTATCCGCAGTGTAAATAAAACATATCGACGGTGAAACTACCAAACCACGTATCTCGGTTTGCGACGTCGCAGACTTCCTGTCATACTTTATTTTTTAAATGAAAAACTACTTAACGTCTAGTCTTGAAAATTTCTGTGATTTTTCCTCTTTGTGCGGAGAAAATTCTGTGAAAATTTCAAGGAATGATATTGATTTGGTCGACTTCAAAAAAATAAAATGCGAGCGTAGATTTTTAAACACCGCAAACGAGATACGTGGTTTGGTAGTTTCACCGTCGATATTTATTATAAAATAAAAATGTCTTTTATTTTTAACTGAATTACGACGGACCGACCCGTCCAAAGATCAAGTGTCTCCTGACAAGTGATTGTTGACCAAGCCCAAGTGACTCTTGCCAAATCACCTCTGATTGGTCCCAATCACCACCCACGCTCATCAGTCCTCTAATCCGGGAGACCGATGGGTGCCTCGGAAATGCAAGACAACGGGAAAAAGAGAAACTGCATTCCACTGCACCCAGCTGCAGCCCTCCTTTGTTTTCCTCCCTTGCGTCTTACGGCAAGTTTCTTAGAGGAACGCAAAATGAGAGCAGCAAGCCAGCAAGTGCAGTGTTGCCAGACCTCCTCTCCTACTGTCTCCCATTTCCTGGAGGGTTCCAAAGGGACTCTCAGGCCTCCCGCAACTTGCTAAGGTCGAGCACCCCAGCCTATTGTCTCTGGGACCTGGTTACACAATACATTCTTCTGTCCTTTCTAGTTCCTGCCCTCCCTCCTCCCGTCCTCTTCTCCCCTCCGCCACCTCTCGTTAGAGCATTCGGATTGAGACAGGTGCCCCGTCTTTTTGAAAATCCCGCCAGAATTTTAGCGGGAAACATCACAGTGTATTACCAAATAAGCAAATCAAAGTAGCACTAGCAATAGCAATGCAGGTCTTGGTCACGACGATTTTTATCAATGCATCTTAATTAGTGTTATTTATCAGAGGATTTATTTGCATTATTGTACAAAAAATTGAAAACAATATATCGAGTCTGGGCTGAAGTATTTAATCAACGGAGTTTTTTCAAATAAGTAACACGTGGTTTACTGTTTGTAGTAAAAATTGGGATCTTACCTGAGTGCTCGTAAAGTAAACAATACAATTCTTGTGGATGTGGTGTGCTGTGGTGTCTTGATTTTTGGAACTTGAACTTTATTATTTCATCTTTTTCATGTCATAATTTCAAGACAAGTCTTAATTTCACTCTTGATTCATACTAACTTCATTAACTTCATTGCCGCTTTGTTTACAGTTTGTCGTGTCACGTGCCAAGCCACTTTGCAACCACCAAAAGTAAGTGCTTAAATGGTTTTTGTAAGCAACCAAAACCGTCACATTTTCTTGTACTCCATCAGTACTTAGAACTAATCCATCAGCATTTCCATGCACATGGGGTGTCCCAACGCGTGCCGAAGTTCTCTTAGCATACGGAGATATCTCCAATACCTTAATGGGTAGGCTACATGTAGATTTCAAGCATAGATAACATAGAGTTGTAATGTAAGTTGGAGAGCTGGTGCCATTTTTAGCATTTTCTAGGTCCTGAATTCCGAGACTCCCGTGTGATGCCAGGTCACTTTTTCAATAGTACATAATTGATTGTTTTTGATACATGGGTACCCGGTCATCTGATGTGAACAAAAAAGATAGGAATTACTATGTATCCCACACCACCATTTTAGATCGAACATGTGTCGGAAAAGTGACCGAAGCTCTGCGCACACCAGGATTAGAACTCGTTGAGCAGAACATGGTGTCAACTCTCGCATTTACATCACAACTGTACGTACTCTGTGATTTCAAGTCCATTGCAGGACCTACTATTCTGGACTGCAAGCAATAGTAGGAACCACACAGTAAGATTAGATATGTTAGGGTGATTCATAAAGCTCCCTGACGAGGTCGAACCAGCATGTGATGCATCCCATTGATAAGGCCAAAAATCTCGGCAGATTTTGTATTTTTAACCAAAACATGGACGATGTGTGCATGAGCCTGAAGAATCATTTTAATTAAAAAAATCAGCAAAATTCAGAGAAATGAAAGCAGAATCCTGTTCAGGATAAAACCTTACATTTGTTACAGTTATCGATTTCTGAATCGTTTGTGAGGTTTTTTTCCAAACAGGACTCTGCATTCGTTTCTCTGAACTTTACCAATTTTTGAGTACTAATTGATTCTCTAGGCTCATGCATAGGGGCCATCGTACTTTTTTTGGCTAAAAATTCAAAATCTGCCGAGATTTTCGATCTAATTTATGCGATATATCGCATGCCAGTTCGACCACGTCACTTGAGCTGGACGAACCACCTCAATTCTGTCCAATTATACTTATCAGGTAAGCGATTGAAAGTTTGACTCCCCAAATTTAAACACAGTTTGAACATTATGTATCTCGTGTCTTGCCAATGATTTTCACAGATAGTTCAAGTAGTCAAAAAAATAGTCACAAATTATGAGCTTGAGAGATCATAAAGGGTACATTCTGGACCAAAAGGCATTTCTCTGATGAAACACGTTGCAATCAATGACCCCTCTTTGAAACTGTTCCAAAATAGCTCATATTAGCCGAAAATGGTTTTAGCCAATCACTGGCCAAAGTTCGGAACCACATATCTCCATTACAGTGTTTCAGAATTTGCGATCCTATTTTAGCCTCTTCAAAAAGAAACTATCCAAATTTTTAGTTTGGCAATGCTGAATAATCTGCAAACAGAGCAGAAAAATCAAAGTAGATTTCAAGAAATTCTGTCGACAAGTGTTTTCTAAAGAAACAATAAAGCAGGTACTGCAGTAATTCTGCAACATCGCAAATAAAGATACTATGTTTTGCACTTTGACCATTGCTTTTGGTTCTTCAGATCTATATTCTTTAGTTGTATTTTGATGTTTCTTAAATTTAGCGTTTGGTAACATCAATAAGTTCTCTCTCATTATTTTTCAGAATTTCAATATGTCAGACCAAAATGACGAAAGAAAACCAAATAAGGTAAGTAATCATTTTACTTAGCTTTCCTTCGTAGAAGTAATGAAATGAATAATCACTCATTAAATTCAGACTATTCTAACAGCTGTGTACAACTTTAAAACCACCCAAGTAGCACAGATTGCAATAAGTAGCAATTACATAATAACATTTTTTCAATTTCACTGAGTGTTGTGTATTTTGCGTAGCTCCTATTTGAAGAGGCCCCATTTATTGAAACTTATCGCAAAAAAATTGAAATAAGTCGTATTTTCACATTGCAACTTTTGTGTATTGCCTATATTTCTGTCACATGGAGCTCATTTTGTTGATTGTTTAAAATTGGCACAAATCATCTAAGTAAATGATGGATAAATATTGCAATTTAATGGTAAAAAAATTACAATTTTATTGAAATCACATTGCAATTTAATTTCAATATTTTCGTTGCACTGTACTACTTGGGCAGTAGGTATCATCAGGGTATCTTCAGCTCATAAGTCACATCAGGCCATAGCTTATTTTCATTTGGGTGTTAAAATTATAGTTTTGAAAGGTATGTAAAATTGTCATATTTTTGTTTTATTGCTCAATTTTTAGGTCATAAATCTCGCTCATGCAGCCAATTTACACAAGTATGTGATATTGTGATCCTTCAATTCCCTGCATATCATTTCTTAATAGGGACTGAAAGCAGTTTTATTAGCCTTTCGGTCAAACTTTTTTACAAAAAATGGTCATACAAAGTCATCTAGAAAGGTCATATTTTTATTTATTTTTTTTTTATTTCTGTTGGCACCCGTATCTGCACAATCTACCTACATCAAAAGATTTTACTTATTCTCTCAGTATTCGCAACAAAGACTTGTCTGCAGTCAATCTCAAAAGGATCATAATAGTTGTCCTATCCATTAGATGCTATGCTAATCCATCTATTTTGATAGGAAGTACTTAAACTTTGTAATTTTTAAATCAGTGTTTGAACAAAGCAAATAAAAACATTCAATCCCAGGAAGCAATTTTGCAAGTGCAGATCTTGTAGCACTAGGTATGCTTGAACTTGATCGGCTATTCGTTGGCTTCGTTGGTGACTATCGTTGGCCCGCCTGTGGTCAAAAGGGTCACTGTGCCCAAGTTGGTGCTGGAATCATTTCCTCATAAGACCATCTTGAGCTGGCAGCAAATTGGACATCTGTTCTTGCCTGGACTGGAATGATCCTTGAAGGAAAGGGATATTAAAATGGTTTTTCTCAAGTTGATTTACTCTCCTTTTTTTCTCATTTTTCCTTTAACATATCAAGTGCTTGCAGGTGATGGCAAGTGTATGGAATTGTGTAAAATATCAGTGACAGATCTGTAAGGTGGGGAGTGGTATAGTCCTTCCCTTTGACAAAAGAAGAAAGAAAAAAAAAAAGAAAAGTGAGAATGGAAGGAGAGCAAGAGTAGGAACAAGCCAGAAAATGGATTAAAATAATTTTAGGACTGTAACTGATACGCAACTAGAGTTAGGGTCTTGAGTTTGGGAGAGGTGTACTTATTTGTGTGGCATGTAAAAAGTGCTATGTTTAGTTTTATGCTTTTGCTCTCTTATTTTTGCCAATACTTCACATCCTAGAAATAGCATATGATCGAAGCTCTCAAAAAATATGTCAAAGAGTCTGTGAAAAGATCAATCAATTTTTATTGTGCAAATACTTACATTAACGAATCTTCAGCTAAAACTATTTGAAGGTTGGTTGTGGAAAAATGAAAGAAATTATTTTAAAAAAAGAGAAATGAGCTATAATGATAGACCTGTGTTTTTGAGGGAAACCTGGCAGGAACAACTTCAAAATCTGTGACTTTTGATGTCCTTTGATCATATTTTTATGCGGATGACACTTTATATTTTCAATTTAAGAATTTTAATTCGGAAGAATTGTCATTCCATTAAATTTTATCAACAGATTCAACCTAAGAACTGACAATTTTGAAAAATTTAAAGATTAAAGACTAAAGTATTGTTGAAAAAAAGTTTAACTAAGCAAAAAAAAACCTGAAGAGAAGTAAAGTACCTAAAGAGGTAAAATTTTACAAAGTTATTCAAGTTATAAAATTTAAAATTCATAATCGAATTTTGCGAATTTGGAAAGATTAGTTCAAAAAATGTCTGTAGATGCCTGCTTGTTACGATATACACTCAAATAATGCCTGAAATGTTCTTGGAGGAATTTTGAACATTGTACATCTATGTTTCTTTTTTCAATTCCTATTATGCTCCATAAAGTTAGAGGTTTCAATTTTCTTTATTGGCAATGCATTCAACACTTGTTTCTTGTGAGCTTTTATTTTAAAATCAATCTAACACATAACCTTTGCATAAACCACGCTTATTGAAAGTTTAGCTTGCAGTTGCCACTGAGCTCGAATTTTTGAGCTTATTTCATGTTACGCAGCAAAACGTATAAGACAAAAAGCTGTTCAAGTCGAAATTCCTCTCAGCCCCCAAACAATTTGACGCGGCAAGATTTCATTGTTGATAGTTTTTCCTGTAAATGGTTGAAAGTTTTTGTACATGTCGCTTTATCTTTGCTGGCTAATCTTCAATGTCCTCCCACATTCCTAATGATGCAATGGTCAGAAATCTTTGTAAATTCAGTTGTTTTTACTCATTTTTTTGTTTTCAGGTTAGATTAAATGTGAATGGGTTCGACAATACAATCTCACAATTTATCCTCAAAGATACTACGCCTCTTGGAAAAATGATGAAGACATATTGTGAAATGAAGGTATGTATGATCTTGGCCCAAAGGGAGGCAATTCCCTTGTGGAAGAAAACTTTTTTTTAAAACTCAATGAAACAACCGTTCATTACTTTGCAAGTCGTTTTTAATTCATGTCTGCTGAATGCTTTAAGAATCTTTGTGAAAAGTTTTAGCCATCAGCAGTTTGTAAATTTTAGAGAGGTTAAACCATGGTAAAGGATGACTTATTCTTGGTAATTCACTGAAAACCTCGGAAAGTCATGGAACTTTGAATTATCTAAGAAAAGCCCCTTGAAGAATTGTTTTCCGGCAAGAGTGTAGACACCCTTGTGATGGAATTTTGAAACCCAAAGCAACTTGTTATCCTGTGGTATCAATTAAAGCTCCTGAGAAAATGAACCCACTTAAACTGAAACTTCCATGAAAATTTGTAGAAATGCGGTTCCTGAAAATACTTAACATTGAACACTCATTTCAGAAAAAATTTCACAGGTAAATAGATCTGAAAGAAATGATACTACCTCCCAATAAGTCTCAACATATGATTTGCTTCATGATCTTTCCGGAAGATGCATTATGCATGAATAGGTCATCCTCATTTTTGCCACTATATATGAACTACCAGTTGAGTCAACTTCTCACAGGGGTAAGGATGAAGTTACCTCTAATTTGCTACCAGTTTGGCTGGAAACAAATTAGGTCTACACCTATAGGGAGGAAATTTCTTTTTTCAATTTTCACCTTTCTTAAATACCCAGCTGACAGCACACTAGGTCATAAAAATATTCACCTTAATTCATTTGACAAGTTTTCACATTTCCGAAACCTTTCATGAGAAACTTTTTGTATACTTTGAACGTCTCCATGACATTTTTGGGGCCTTCTTGGGACCTGCTCATGGCACCTAATTAAAGGTAATGATGAAAAATTATATAAGCCATCTCAAAAATGTTTCACAGTCTTTCGTAAGTTGTTTCAACAAAAGTCTTAGTTTCCTTTTTCATTGAGATGTTTCGGGCACATTTTGAGAGAGGTCATTCCTGTTCTGAATACCTATGGTTTTGAAGTTCAACTCCTTCGGCTGCAAGGGCAGCTGTAGTCTGATTGTTGAAATCTCGTGTTTGTCAGGTAGAAATAGATGACATAGGTTAGAAGGGGAAGCGTGATGGGTTGGCAATGTCTTATCGCTGCTTTGTCGTGCCTATGTCGGGTGAAACTCAACAAGCTAAAGGCACCTCTTAGGTTTCCGATAGTATGTCGTCCATTCCACCTGACAAAGGCACAATATTATAGCAGCAATAAGACAAAGCCGAGCAATCACGCTCCGCCTTTTAACCTAGGTCATCTATGTGTACCCGACAAACACAAAATTTCAACAATCAGGCTGCTGGTAATTCCTCTTCAGATAACTAAACAGCAAAGATACATATCTGCCTTTGACGAAGTGCTGATATCGTTCATTTCTAATGCCTTCAAAAAGCATTTACATTTTGAGATTTAAAGCAAATTAAGAAATTCAAATTCAACAAATGTGTATCTTGAGTAAGTATGATATTTTAATTTGTACGTGCCTTTAAAAAAAAAAAAAAAAAAAAAAAAAAAAAAAAAAAAAAAAAAATTGAAAGGAAAAGTTTTGAGTTTCAGGAACACTGGAAACGTTTTCCAAGCAGTTTTTAAAAATGAAAGTCTATCTTATCTCTACATTTGAAAGTATTGTTTCTCTAATTTTTTCTAAAATGTATATCGGAAATGTTGTATGGAAAATGTGTCCGTAGAAACGTTTTGAAGTTATCCCTGTTTTCTGGTGCCAATAGGGCTGTTCTTTTTTGTTTATGTATTATTTTGTGGGGGTGTTACAGAAAAATGTAGAACACCTCAAAGCTTTACATTTAAATTTTCTTATAAAACGTAGACTTGTAAGAAAAATTGAAGTTTCTATTAACATGTTTGCAAAAAGGAGGAACCTATAATTTTACCAGAATTTGCAAAAAAATCCAAAGGAAAATTAATTAAGAGACAATAAGAGACTATTTTTACTGTCTACTCTTTTTTTCTATGCAAAGAAATTGTCTATACCACTTGAAATGAAAGTAAGAAAAAAGTTTTGTGACCTAGCCAATTTTCTGATTTTTCAAATTTAAAATCATCTACAACATCTACCTTCAAAGTAGCAGAAAACAATTCAAGAATTTTCTAATTCTATTTTGTGTTCATGTATAATTTTTTTTCTCTTCCTCGGATAATAACCAAATTGTATTTTTTTGTTTTAGGGTCTCGATATAACATTAATAAAGTTTTTATATGATGGAAAGAGAATTCAAAATACTTCAACGGCTCATGGAGAGGAAATCCCAGACAATGCTACAATAGAACTCTTTCAAAAACAAGATGGTGGTAATTTCTGTCAATGTATTTTCACATAGTCAAACACACAAACTAATAAGGATTTTTTTTTTTTGTCTTTAAGTGTCGTTCAAAGCTCATTATTTAGAATAATACATGTAATCGCCTTAAAGCGTATTTCGAAGCTCATTTTTTAGGATGAATTTGTAAGAAAATACGTATGTCCTTTCAAGGCAGGGCTCCTCTGTTCCCTCAAAGTTTCATTAAAATATTCAAACCTTTGTAAGAGCTTTACTAAAGAAAAGAGCATTGAAGACATCATAAATATAGATCCCATTTTTGTAATGTCTGTGATGCTCTATTTTCCAGTTCAGCTCTTTTTGAGGTTTAATTTTTTAAATGAATCTTTGTGGGAATGTAAGGGACCCCTATTGCAAGGGCTTAAGTATTTTTTTTAAATAACCATCCCTTCACAACACTTTAAAGTGTCGTAATGTATTCAGAGAGGAAGGCAAGAATAAGGCCCCTAAAATTTTGTTTGTAATATATTTAGGCAAAATGCTGTTACCTGATAAAGGAATGACTAGTGCATGTTCTAATTACTTCCTGCAGTTAGGAAACCTCTTCTTTCTATTTTATTTTTCCCTTCCCATAGCGTAAGTTTTTTTTTTCTTCTTCTTTTTTTTCAGTGATCTTTTCATATAATTTTGTAAAGCACTATTACCGGCTATTTTTCAAGTGAGCATATATTGAGTATGTCTAGTGATGAATGTTTACCATTAAATTTAGTGAATTGCATTCAGTGGTTGATTTTTTTATTTTTTTATTCCTAACCACTGGATACAAGTTTGCTTCATATCCACTCTGGAACCCGGTTGGGTGTTTACCCGTCAATATTCCATCAAGTGTTAAAGTATTATCTAGCTTTAATTTTGGTGTTCTTATTTTCTGTATAGATTTAAGATTTTTTGAAGTTAAGACATTATATAGCAGTTTAACTCTGTTAACAGAAATATTTTGTTATTTTTTTGTCATTTAGTTCTTTAAGTGTTCTCTATTCTAAGTTTTATACCTACTTTTTTGATATTGTCAGTTCGACATTCAAGTGCTCTCGCAGCATTTTTTTTAGCAGGGCAGTATTTGAAAAAGAAAGCAGGTATGATAGTTATTATGTATTGTAAGTATACCATCGATTAGAGACTTGTGCACCTTCAAGATAAGTTCAAACCATAAAATGGCATTTACTCTTGCTCAATTTGTCATCAAACGTTGTCTTCGCAATGACTTCAAATGTGAATGGAATTGTAATTAACCATTTTTCTTCAGAATAGCTTTCTTCTCAGCATTGCACTCACAGTTATCATATCAGAACAAAATGTGTGTGTTCTTTTGTAGGAAAAACTAAGTCACTGTAAGACTTTGTTAAATTCTCAAGAAGAGAATTGCCTTTTTTTCAAACCTGGTGAGCTTTGGACTTAACTTGCATGTTCAAGGTTCATAGTAGTATTCGTCATTTCAATAACAAATGTAATTATATGAGTTCTGAAATACCTAATCTTCCATTGATCAACCTATTCTGCCTTTTTCACCATGTAGTTACCGTGAAATTTGGTTTTTATGTTGCTGACTGTAAATAAAAAAAATTATCTTCGTTTTTAAATAATATAGTGTTTTGAATGATTTCATACCTAATCCACTAATCAGTAAGAAGCATTTATTGCCACCGCTGTTTTATTTTGTGTCAAATCTGCCATTTCCAGGGTTGCCACAGTTAGGGAAAACCTGGAAATGTCAGGGAAAATGACAAAAGTGCAAGGGAAAATTGTAAATGCAGCTTTATTTGCTTTCTAGGATAGGTTTGACGTTTTGAACAACAAAGTTTGCCTAAAAACTATTTCAAATTAAGTATTTTTAAGCATATTGCATATCTGCAATCGTCCGGGAGTTGTACCAAATGTGTCAGGGAAATGCCAGAAAATTTCATTTTCTAAATTCTGTGGCAACTCTGTTTCACTTTTTTTTTGCAAATCTCCAATGAAATGAATTCATGAAATTAGTCTTAAAGTTAATATGAAATGCATAAGTTGCACAGATATCTTATAGCCACAGAAGTCAGTTTTTTTCTCTTTCAGAAATGTCTAATCTTCTCCCTATCATTTCGGCAAAGAATTGAACTACCCAGAATTTTTGATAATTCTACATCGTATCTGAGCTTTCAGGATTTTCCAAGGACTAAAGCTAAGGCCTGCTTCACCCCACTGGCCAGTCTTTGTCTCTGAAAGTGGAAGATACTCGCTTGAGATGACTTTTATCCAGGTGATAACTGTTATTACCAAGGCAAATCATAGCACAGAGACTTAGCACCTTCGAGCAGACCCTTCCAGGAAGTTCAATATTTTGCAGAATTGATTCTTCTAAAAAATTACGATTGTAGAATCTTAACTAAGATCTGCTGTCCTCAGCAAAAATGCCGCAATTCCATTTCAGATTTTTTTCAGCTTCATCAGAAAAATGTTTTAAAACCAAAAAACCACCGACTATCTATCCTTCTTAGTTTTAAACTAATTGCGGCGTACCACTGAGAATTCAAAATGTACAAAATGAAACATCTTAGTGATCATGTTTTCTCATAATAGAACAGTAGGTAAGTATGTGCTGAAGAAGAATGCAAAATGTTGATTGGACTTTTTTGGGGCGTTTTTCCTGTAGACGGCAGAGTTGTGTTCAAATGCACCAGCGCACTGGACCTAATTTTCGAGCTTTTCTGCGTAGAGAATGTGAACAATAGCCCAAGGACTGTCATTTGTATTGGATAGCAGAAATAACTTGGTAACGATTTAAGGTCTCATGAAAAGAATGCAAATTGGTCTAGGATTTTTTTTATTTCTACTATTTTATTACTTAATTTTTGGCATTAACGATTGCACTGAAGAATCCTGTCCTTGTTTGCGACTCTTCAAAATTTTTGCTTTCCTCTTTATTGTAAGAATGATGTCTAGACCGGAAATACCTAACCGAGATTCATCAAGGAATGAAAAATTTCGGGGAATCTCTTCTTCCACAGCTTTGAGACCATTTCGATTTTACTTAAATGTGGAAATCTCAAGTACCTATTGTTATTAAGGTTCATATCATCGCACCTAAGCCGCCATTATTGACATCTTGAATGACATATTTGAATCTTCAAAGCATGATAAAACACGATGATTGGCACGGTAAAGATACGGAAAATTTTACGCATAAGTAATTTGCTCTGGGTAATTTAAAGAAAAATATTCAAATTAATTAAAAAAAAACTAAATAATTTGTAAGTTGCCATAAAGATCACCAAAGTAACCGCACGGTTTGTAGTACAAAATCTTATGATGTGATAAGTGCTATTTGGCGTAATACCACTATTCGACCTCTTAGGAGCTCGGTGTGCCTATTCAATAAATTGAAGGCGCTTTGATTGCCGTCGCGGTTCTTTAAATTTCCATGAACTATCGTGGTAACAAGCAGATCCTTATTTTAAAAATGTGTCTCCTTCAATGACCTTTTCGAATGAGTTGTCTATTGTAATGCTGAATGTGCAGAATTACATCTACAAGTTGCAAAATTTTCTGGAATATATACCGCATTTCTTGGAAGACTGATGTTTCCATTTACTCTTCTTTTCTTCTCCTGTTTGGAACGCTGTGCGGAAAATTTTAAGCATAATGTAATTAGGACAGGTAACCCCTGGTAAAAATTGGCGATAGGAGATGCGTTTCAAAATACCATAGGAGTTCTTATAGCCGACTGAGGAAGGCGATAGAAAATCATATAGCTGGCTGTAGAAAAAGGAAAAAATCATACGGCCGGGCTACACGAAGCGATAAAAAATTATACAGCCGGGCTATAGTTCCTATCGCCGGGCTTTACACTTTATCGCCTAGCTGTTGCTTTTTCGCCATCGGCTATAAGAAATTGTGTAGAAATTCGTGTGCTTTGTAAATCCTTAAGTTTGTACGTAATCACCTCAATATTTACAAAACGCACATTATATTTTCCTTTACTACATATTTTTTTTCATCAATTAAAATGAGAATAATCCATACAGAGTGTGCAAACATTTCAAAGTCATGAGTTGAAAAACGCTGACTTCACGAGATTAAATATTAGAGCCTAACACAAAGCGGAGCAGCGGCGCACTGGCGCCTACAAACCTAACAGGGATACTTCACGCATTGCGCAATGCGTGAAGTATCCCTGTTAGGTTTGTAGGCGCCAATGCGCGCTGGTTGCCCGCCCGCCACGACGCGCCGCAGAGTACCACGGCGCTTGAAGCAACTATTTCACACCAGAGGTATTGCACGTGTATCATACAAAATTGAAGGCGCTCCAACATATTAGGAATGGCAGGCATCCTTCAAAAGTACGGAGCTTTCCTCGCAAAATAAATCAAGATACTACGGCCAAAAAAGAGAGCGGTAGTCCAAAAACTCACTAAGTCCTAGCATCAGTGATTAGTAACGTTTAGCACACACTTTATTGCCAGGCTGTTGCTTAATCGCTATCGGCTATAAGAAATTGTGTTGCCGGCTATAGAAGCTATTGGAAATCTTACAGCCGGCTGTAAGTATATGGTATTTTAGAACACAGATTCTACTGTGTCGCGTGTACCGTAGTACAGCAGCGATACCCTTATTTATTTTTCTTTAACTTATAAATTTTTCATTCACTTTCATTATACTCATTAGGGATGGCTGGATCTAGTCCACTTTTCAACTTTTCGTCTTTATCTTCGAACCATCACCTAAAATCACCCATTAGATTAATTACTCAACTTGCAACTGATAGCTCCACTGATTACAGCCAGCCAATCGTGTATAGACTTGCTGTCTCGCCACTCGTGACGTCAGCAAGCCTATAAAAGCTTGTGCTGCCTATTTCTCATGGTCTTTTAACATCTGACCCATACTAGTATGTATGTGCCACTCTCGCCCCCATGGCACAACCCCGTGTGACTATTCTACCTCTCTGTAAATCTGTAACTTTTCTAAATTCGTTTTCAATATAATCATTTCGTGCATTCAACTTGTTCGTTCAATTCTTGCTCTCCCACAGTTCTTCCTATTTCTAGTGCTCATTTTAAGGATCTTTAGATGTTTCAGTCCGTCTAAAACTCAGTCCATCCTTAAAACGCGACACACTTCCAATTTTTACCAGGGACTTAAAGTATCTATTCAAATTAAGCACTTATTAATTCAGAATTTTTGACTGCCAAGAAAATCACCGAAGAGTCAACAGGGTTGATAATCTACGATATGTGCTCTTGGGCGTGATACCACTATTCGACCTCGTAGGAGCTCGGTGTGTCTATTCAATTTATTGAAGGCGTTTTAAACGGCCATCGCGGCAGAGAGTATAGAACTCTCTCTGGTTCAGTGCTCGAAGAGAAAATAATAGATACAACGTACATCATGTTATGGTCAATGGTCATACATTTCAAGCTGTCAGGTAACCACTTTTGAGAACTTTATGAAGGTCCAAGACTGTGATGCTTTCTCGGTTATTTTGTCTTAATCTAAAAACGGAAGAATAAATCGATCTATGACATCATCATTTGAAGCCCAATCGGAGTGAAAAACGTCGCTTTTTTCAAAGATGTGAAATCTCCCTGATTGGTCCAGAGTCCGCAAACCAAAGGAGTCGTTCATGTAAAGCTCTCGCTCTCTGTAGTTGATGATTTCTCCGTTTGTTTGTATGTATGAAAAATGGCTGCAAATAAAAATTCAACCGATAATTGTTTCCCTGAGTAACCGTTCTCTACCATAAGGTATTAGGTACTTGGTTTTCCTTACATATATGCCACAATAATTTATCTAGAAACCTTAGAGCTATATTCTCATCAGCGGCGGACTGGTTATTGAAAGTGATAGACAAAGCTGTAGACAAAGAAGCCATAGGGAGTATGGAGCGATCCAATTGGTTAAAATGGGTTGTTCCCATAGACTAAGGGAGAAAATGATGGACTAACTTCAGGGTCTCTCGTGGATTGCCTCTAGTTAGTCTATTACATACCTGCTTTCACCAGGATCCATCCATGTCCCTTTTGTTTTCTTTGTTTATAGCTTTGTCTATCAATTCCAATTATCGGCCTGTTGTAGGTCTAATCAAATGAAACCACGTGTCGTGTAAGAGGTAGTTTTCAACAGACTTTCAATGGGCACTTACTTGCAAATAGTTATTTTCTTTTTCTTGTCGGTGTTAGATTTTGAGTACCTCAAGCGCTGTAATTATGCATTTGACCGTAATTAAATCTCTTACTCTCACAAAGAGCGATCGCGGATTCACTGTGCCGATTTAACAAGGGTGAATTATGATGAAATCATGGCATTTAAAAAAAACTCGCCGGCACTTTAATTTTTCAAACTGTTGTGATTTTATCTCGATTTACCACTCCACTTCTGTCCTCTTTGTCACATCATTCAAAGGTGCAATTCTCCGGCAACAAATTGAGATTTAGACAAGGTTTGTGTTCTAATGAAAGGCAAGAAAAGCCAAAGCGCCTTCATTTTTAATGAATGCAGCACAGACAGCCTCTGAGCAGGTGCTCAGTGGAAATGTCTCATTTTAAATGTCCAATTTACAAAATGTACAATGCACTTTTGGTTTATAGTAGGTGGATGTCCATAAAGAAAACTGTCCAGTACCAGGAGATTTTGTCCATATATCTGGTGAACCTAAAATAGTTGTATTTGAGGAGCGGCATGGCGCAACTATGAAACGTAAGAAAAATTTGTACGTAGATAACACAGACAAATCAAACACAAAAACGAATAGAAGGTCTGATCGCTAAAGACCTCATATTTTTAATAATTACCAGTTTCCGTTTTCGTGTCCAACCCTTGAAAATCTGATCTAATCCTATGAGAGTCTCAGAAGAAATATATCCGATCGTTTTGCATGTGAAAAACAGGAAATTTTTCATCTGGAATTCTTATTTAAACCAAAAATATGTCCAAAATTCCTCGCGATATTTTTACAGAAGAGGGGGGGGGGTGGAAGAATTGACAGTGTAAAATGAGTATCTACCTAGATTGCCACGGCGATATGACACCATCTTGAGGTCCACCGATGCAAATTAAATTCTTGAGCTTCGTAAAGCTCCTTCTGTAGGATTCACTAGAGGATGAGAGGACTTGATTGTCGATGTACGGAAGGTAAATGCTGGTCATCTGATACAGGTCCTGATGGTTGGGGTCGTTCCAATAGTTAGATATGGAGACGGCGCGTTGCACTATAGGGTTGTAAAACACGAGGAACCCTGTCTGGTAGGGCAAAGGGAAGTTACCTAAACTGCTTGGCCCTAACGTGAAAAAAACGCAAATAAAAGAAAACTGTTAAAAATATTTAAACGTACTAAAAATTGTGAAAAAATTCTCATTCTTCCTCCACTGATAAATTTCGTCTTTATTTCGCAATGGACCACTAGACAAGGTACGAATTTAAGCATTCTGATACATGTTTCCCAGTCAGAATTTCACGTAGAGCACGATTCGCACAACGAAAATTACTTAAACCAACTCCTAACGAAGATATTAACGTTTTTATTTCACATTGGTTACGAGGAATTTGAACTGCCCGCTCACAAGAAACTCAAAGCTCTACGTGAGTCAAATCGCGCACTACAACGGTTTCAGCAAGCTTCTCAGTCGAGCAATGTTCATTTCCCACCATGTGTTGTTCAAACTATAAGCAATTTGCTGTAGCTGAGCCAAGGCGTCAAGACTGAGGTTGCCAGATTTTTACATCACAGAGACTGCCATGATAACGTTTAGCGCTCGATGTGAATCCCGTAGATCATTTAGTTGTCGTGAGCGGATGGTTTTTGGCGGTGGATTCACGCATTAAGAATCATTATATATCTTCGTAAGGAGTTGATTTCGGTAATTTTCGTTCTGCACATCGTGTTTTTCGTGAAATTTTGGTTAAGAAACATGTATCAGAATGCTGAAATTCGCACCTCGTCTAGTGGTCCATAGTACTGTCTGAGGTTTCAGTATATCAAAAACAGACCATTGTAACTTCTATACCTGCGGAAAGAATTCTTATGACTTCAAATCAGCCATGCCATCGGGACGGAACAATTGGACGTATTTCTATCAACCGGAACTAAGCGCCATGGGGGAGGAAAGGAGAGGGGGCCCTGGATTGGCGAGTGTTGCGGAACGCGATGCTCGTTTCCGTCCTATACTCGCAATGCTTTTCCATGGCGCATAGTTCCGTTTAACAGAAATACGTCCAATTGGACTTCTTTCTTTCAAACGGAACTAAGCGCCAATTCCAGTTCTTTTTGAGGAAATTAGAATGCCGGATAGCGCGTTCTGTCAGAGGGAACTAAGCGCCATGGAAAAGCATTTCGAGTATTGGACGGAATGAGCCTGACGCCCGATTCCGCCGCCAATCCAAGCCCTCCTCTCCCTCTCTCGCCCGATGGCGCTTCGTTCCGTTTCATAGAAATACGTCCAATTATCAGTAAGATACTCTAAAAAAGAATCATTTGTCTAGTTTTTTCTTTTCTTTTCTTTTCTTTTCTTTTCTTTTCTTTTTTTTTAAATGCAATTAATTATCTCTGCGTATAGAGTAAAAGACTACTGATCCGTGATGATCTGCGACAAATGAAACGAAAATCTGTGAAGACAGTAAAGAAATTGCTGTCTCCCGTTAGATGAAAGGTATTTCTACTGAAGAGGAAATCCTCCCACGTAGTTTCAAAATCACTATAATTCTAGATGAACTGTTCCAAGAGCCTTCTCCAGCGTTCTAACTTTCAAGCTTTGGTGTCTTTGTATCGGATTTGTGTCTAGTGAATGAATTAGATATCCTGTGTCGCGTGTAATGCAACCAATCAAGTTCGTTTCATAGTTATAGGGATGAAGTTTTTCGTCTGTACCTACCCTATTGTCTCTCTTTTCCTTATTCTTGACGCCAGAAAAGTTAATTTTAAAGTTACAAAAAGACTTTTTTTTTTCAACGTTCAATTTGCAAAAGAGAACAGCTGATATTAAATACCTAGGTACATAAGCTGATCGCAAAACCCTTCGTCGTCGCTAGACTCAGGTGACTCCACTGCGGGATGACAGTTCCGCCTTAACGCAACGTACCTCTCACACTGAAAAATAATTCTCGGCGTTTTTACCAAGGTCCGTTGGTACCTTTACCATCTCACTATTTTTTACCAATTATTGGTAATTTTACCAAGACAGACTGGTAAGCTTACCTAAAGACCGGTATTTTTACTGTTTTTTTCAGGCAAGTATACCACTTTTATTGGTAATCAATTCCCGGTAACTTTGCCATTTTATCCCGGTAATTTTACTACAGTCGTCAATAAAAAATATTGGCGTTTTCACCGGGGATCAGTAAAATTACCGGGAAAGTCAATAATAGATTTCTCGGTAAAATTACCAATTTCATAAATGGTAATTGTACCAAGAAAAAACTGGGATCAAATAGAACCCTGAATTCTTAGTAATTTTACCCTTTTCTTAGTAAATACACCGAGATTTTTTTTCAGTGCAATACTGCCGTGCTAAGGAAAAACGTCGTACGTACATTCGAGAGTTGCCAAATTTCCGCGTAAAAAACGTGTATTTATGAAGAGATGTGTGGATATATTTTCCTAAAATTGTCATATGATTTAGATCTATAATTACAAGGAAAATTCTCTAAATAATTGAATGGAAAATGTTCACGAGTTTTCCTGAAAATTTGTATTTAATCAAAGTAAATTAGGCAACTGACGAAGGTTCATACGGCGTTTTTCCTTACTACGGCAGAACAGCATTTTGTAAGTCGGTTTTAATTTTCCGAGTGAAATTTTTGCTGTAATATCTCGCAAATCTACGCTTCCTAACTTCACCTATGTATAACCGTTCTCATAATACTTCACAATTATTCCACCCTTGTAAACATCTCTTTTTCATTTACATGGTACCACCGCCACGAAACCAACATTTTACCACCTTTAGCACTACCCTGACGCCGACACCATGTATGCCCAAAAGTAAGTATGCCTCACCGTATTGACCAGCCATCGGTCCTGAAATGGCGATGTAATTCTGGACGGTGTGTTCCTCGTACGACTCGATCAGACCCCTGCTTAAAACGCTCCCCTGAGAAAATCCTTTTCAATAACACGAAAAAAATCAGAAAGTTAAAAGGAACGTTAGGTACAAGAAAAAAATTGTTCAACTAACTCGTGTGTTTATCGATTATCACGCCTCATGACATTGCAACGTAGGTGGATCCATGAGAGGGAGGGGCGTACCTCGAAGGTGTACGCCTCCCCTCGTTAGCCCGAAAAAAATGAGGAAGAAAAGAGAAGGAAGAAATAAGGAAGGAACGGAGAAAAGGAAAAGGAAAGACGTTTATATGTAGTGATTATTCATATTCATGATAATATTGGTTCAAACTGCATGTTAGATGCTTCAAAAATTCAAAAATTCAAACAATTTTTGGGGAAGGTTCCTTGACCCCCGTCCCTATCGCGCCCCCTCCTTGTTCAAAGTGTCTGGATCCACCTATGCACTATTTAACATAGGTTTAAATGAAAATAATCCGGTTTTGCCAAATTGCTGGATCCATCAGCGACATGGCATTGAGTATTTCTGATTTATCAAAAACTAATCACTGCAACGAAACAATTTAAGATAGGTTTAAGGTCAGAGGCAACACTTTAAAAAAATAAAATAAAAAGAGGTAGGTATAAATTCGAGTAGAAATCCAAAACTAATATGCAGCCTCTGCTGTAATAATATTTGTAGAGCTTTAATTCACATTTGTTCGTCAAAAACGAGTTAGCGTGTTTGCCATTTTTAATAGTGCTCTTCTGTAATTTAAAATTTGGTAAGGGTCTATTTTTTATTTTTCTTCATTCAAACGTAATGTTTTTAAATTAGGTGTGACTGATTCCGAGGAAACGTACCGATAAAATGAAATCCATCTGGATACTTCATGGAAAAATTTCGAAATTCTTCGCCAAGCTCTCCTGCTATTTGAACCGGAAGCGGGGTTAGACTGCGAGCGTCTGGATAAGCGTTAGAATTGTGGATGACGGTGCCTGGATGTGCCTGAAAACATTTTCAACTGCGCGAAGAAATACTACAGCAAAATACTTTCATTGTCAGCTTCAGCTGAAATGCTGATGCAGAGCAACTATTCCAAGAAGAGGAAGGCGTTTTTGCCTATCTCTCTACTTGAAGGAGATTTTTATTGCATAAAACATTCGGTCGGAATTGAGTCTCACCAGGCAATATCCCTGCTTTGAGATCGACTCTAGCCATTAATCTATAGATTAATGTTAATTATATATCTTTAAAAAAATGAGTTACGGTTCAAAATCAATATTTTATGAGTCAATAGAACTCGAACAACTACTCCAAATATTTGTACATCACTTATACAGAAGCTCGGAGTTTTTTCAATTAGTATAGATTGTATCAGAATCGGGGGCTTATAGGACAAGGCGCATACGTGCAGTTTTTGACAAAATTGAGATATATCAATGATTTTAAATACAACTCGGCTCAATACGTATGCTGTGAAAAATTCGCTCCCAAAATCCTATTTTCAAGCATCGAAGTTAGTTTGAACTATCTTTCCGCCAAAGGACTCAAGTAATTTCAAAATTTCGAACACGTATTTTACGAAATAGAAAAAACTGCACTCAGACGCTTTGTCCTCCAAGCTCCTCGATTCAACTTCACACTCTTTATTTTGGCACAAAAATTAAAAAAAAAAGCTCTCGAAAATATTGTTATTTAGGATAAATCGATAGTTTTCCGTTGAAATCTCAGAATTCGAATTCCTGACTCAGCTTGACAAAAGTAGCATAACTGAAAATTTTGCCGCGATGTAGAGACTATATCTCCGGCGAAGGTCACATACTTCCAGTAATGAAAATATTAAAAACCTGGTTTATTCTCTCGATGAGGTGCTCAAAGGTGGTAGAGTTCCCTGAAACCCCATGCAGAAGAAAGACTGGCTTGTACTGGTCGCTGATCCTGCAAAGTAGAGTGATAATGACGGCTATCGCCCCCTCGCTGGTGCATTTCATTCTAGCGCTTCTTGAAATTCTGATCAAGATTTATATGTTCCTCTCTCTATTCTTCCGCAGAAACGCCTGCACCTGCGTTGAAATTAAGTAAATATATAGTATATTTTCGTTTCAATTTTCTTCTTGAAACCTGAGTAGTTAATCTAATTAAGTAAGGGTCCTTTTTTGAGGTAAACTCAAACCAGTAATAATTAAACAGCACTTTTAAGAGAATTGAACGACACTCAGGCCGCAGCACTTTACGTCAGAAGAGGTCGCGAACTTGTTAGAAATGTATGTCTTCTTTAAAAGTAGCATTGATCAATATAACTATTATGCTCCTTGCTAATCCACTTTTTCATTTTTTGGCACAGTTCGTTCTGAAGACCTACCTACCTCAGGGCCGTATTAAGGGGGTGGCCACATGGGCCACGGCCCATGGCGGCAAATCAAAGGGGTGGCAAATATTTGCAATTTTGTAAAGTGTAGGTATAAAAAAAATCGGATTTATAAAAACAAAATTACAAACGAGAAAAGGCGCCAAAATCTCTCATTTCCTGAAAGTATGGTCATTTCCAATTTTGCCGTCTCTTAGTGATACAAGAGACAGCACCCTCAATAAGTCGAGCTAAGAGAGAGACCAAACACGCAATCTGGCCTGGAACGGCGCGACTCAGAGAGAAATGATGACAAGGATTTCAGTGGCGTGGCGTGCTTTGCAATATATCGATTGATCCGCTATTTAAACCTATGGAAAAGGATCGATAGACAGGGTGTTCGCAGCGAACACCTTAATAATCGATTCTTTAACATAGGTTTAAATGGCATAACAATCGATACATCGCAATTCACGCCACGCCACTGAAGGATTTGAGATGAAAAGGAGAAGCCCTCGGCGCGGCGATTGGCATGTAACACATACTAGCGGCTACAAGACTGCACGAATACTTCACGCATTGCATCAAACACAGTGCGGTCATTGCGGTCAGCGTGAAACGGATAGCGCCTACAAGAATGCATGAATACTTCACGCATTGCGCCAAACACAGTGCGGTCAGCGTGAAACGCATAGCGCCTACAAGACTGCGTGAATACTTCACGCGTTGCGTCCAACACAGCGCGTTCAACAGCGGTCGGCGCGTGAGGCGCATAGCGCCTACAAGACTGCGTGAATACTTAACGCATTGCGTCCAACACGGTGCGGTCTGCGCGGCGCGCCGGCGGAAGTTAAAATCATTGAACCACATTTATGTTTGTTCTTTTACAATTTTTTCGTTCATTTCTTATGAATGGAAGGCCTTGTCCACACAGTGATAGGTTTACGGAACTTAAATTTCGCGCAAAGTTTCGTGAACTTTTGCTGGTAGTGTTGACAGGGCTTTCGCAAAAAATGTGTTCAACACGAGTAAATGCGTCTTATGCACCCCTCCCCCGCTGGCACGTTCATTTGATGGTTTTTATCGAGCTTCAAAACGAATGAGAAGGGGGCGGCAGAATATAGGCGGCCCACGGGCGGCAAGTAGGTGAATCCGGCCCTGACCTACCCGGCCAATTTTTATGATTTTTGCGGATATCCACAAGAGCCAGCATTTAGATGAGCTTTGTCTATTTAGAGTACCTCTTGGGGGACCCAGGGGACCCGCGAAGCCAGCCTTAGAGGGTTCAACGCGCCCTCTGGGTTAATGGAAATGTAATGAATATCTAACGCAATTTTGCCGCAAGAATCATTATGCGGCAAAGCTCATAACATGTCTATTATGTTAAGCATTTTTGAGTTACTTAGTTCTCGAGTTAGTATCAATATATCGACGGTGAAAGTCGGCAATCACATAACTCGTTTGCGGTGTCTGAAAATCTCCGCCTCTACGTCATTTTTTTAAAGGAGAACAAATTGATATTATTTCTTGAAGTTTTTGCAGAATTTTTTTCGCATTGAGAAGAAAAATCATGACAGTTTTCAAGAATTGCCGTTGAGTAGTTTTCCATTTAAAAAATAAAGTATGACAGGAAGTCTGCGACGTCGCAAACCGAGTTATGTGATTGCCGACTTTCACCGTCGATATGTACTTGAGAGGGGATGGTGTCAAAGTGGTCGATCGATCCTCTTGGCCTCATTTTCATCTATTCAATTTTATTAACGTTTAAAAGTGTTCGACGACATGTCGCACAATGATCTTCCTCATTTTAGAGTGGAAAACAGTCCACGTGGTATGTGCTATTTTTTGGCTAGTAGAAATAGAAAAATAAAGTTTGATAAATAACATTTTGGATAGGAAACGATTGCATCATCTAAAACACCCTGATTTAAAAATACACAGTATAGTCGTAAAATGAATCAACATACCAAAGAATGTATTTATTTTTCTGCTTTTTGAATCTTCGATCTCGTTCATCACTGTAGGAGCAGGTTCACTTTCACCTCTCCCATAAGCCAAAAAATGAATGTATTTGACATTTTAAAGTACATTTCAACTCGCGAGACGAAACCAGCGACGGGAAGAACAAAACTTCTACGAATCCTCGAAAACCAGAAATAGAGTTCCCTTTTTACATCACGACACAGGGCAATAACATTATCCGTAAGGCAGCAAACTCACTTGATTCAAAGAGGTACCGCGAATTCATTTACCACAGCATATTAAGACAAGAGTTCTCTGATATGGCTTTGCAGTTGTAGAGGGCTCACGTATCGGATGTTGGTTGCCATATGGTAAACAAACAACCAGTTTCATGAAAGTGATCAACGTAAACGTAGCTAGAGCAAAGTAGGGGCCAGGGACCTATTCAGCCCTCCCGAGGGTCTACTCCCAAGTGGCAGTGATCGCGATAAATAGCGATTTTATCGGTTGATTATCGCGATTATATCGATGGCAATTTATATTATTATAATTAATATTATCAAATAAAAAATTGCGATTTTTGGCGATGAAATCGCTATGCATCGCAATTTTTTTTTCAATAAAATTGCGATCAATTTTCGTCAATAAAATCGAGAATAAATCGCCACGGATCGCGATTTTTGTTGCGATAATATCGCAATAAATTGCCGGGCGATAAAATCGCGATTTCATTGCAACACGATCGAGGATAATCGCTCAGATGTTGATGATCTTAGCAGTTTTATCGCCGAAAAAATCGCAACAAATCGCGATTTTTTCCGTTGAAAAATGCTACTTGGGCTGGTAATGAACGACTGTGTACGATCACAATGGACGTAGTTATGCTAAAAGGAACTATGTTGCACACAAACCCTATGCACATATAGTTCCTTTTAGCATAATTAAGTTCTACTGTACCGAGTTCGACAGGAGTGCACCGCGTAGCCACAAACTTAAACCGAGATAAAGAGGCTTAAAGTTTATTCCTCCGTTTGGCTCAATGTTGAGCATATATACTTTAATTTTTTTCAAATCCAATATACATATCTTTCTTGACTTTTAATTTTTGACGGGGAAAACTCACAACTATCTGCATCAGGAGTTAGAGCCCCCCCCCCTCCAAATTAGTTTTTTGAAGTCGGTTGCCTTTTTTAGCAACTTTGGCACATTGCACAACCATGAGGAGATAAAACAGGAGGAACATTCATTCTTTATGAACTAAACTTTTCTAGATTTTTCGACTATGTAAAAAATAGTTTTGTCCTTGAAAGTATGGTAAAGTTTGGATGAAAAATGGTGATCATGATGTGTCAGAAACGTATTTTACATGGGTTTCGATCAAAAAAATTTACATTTATTTAAAATGCTTTTTGTTAGAATGGAGCTTGTAGTTATAGTGTTCATCAATGAGGCCAGATCGGTGATCTTTTACATCTCTTTTTTCAACGCTCTAAGCATTTTTGAACTAGATGCTCATTATCGTGTACTTTACAAAACTAAAATTTCTTTTGTATTTTTGGAATTTTATTTCGATTTATGATTTAATAGTTTGAATTCAGCCCTTGCCGAACGAATCTTTCGGCGCAAAACATGACTAATGTGGGCTTCCTAGATGCTAATCTGAAACTCTAAAAACAGTTTGTGGCTTCATAAAATCTTTAAAAACCAGTCTAAAATAATCTTCAGAGTTTAAAATTGAATTCCAAACTCAGGCTTCTACTTGAGGAACCTCGGCTCATGCGTCGACCTGTTTGATTTTTTTTCTCCTTTTCATGGACTGCATTACTCAGGTTTCAAGCACAGACTTACCTATGCTTCAAGTATCATTGTGAAAGAAACATTGAAATAATGAAACGTGCGTTTGAAATGCATTGTTAATCAAAACGCCTTACCCTTCAACTCTTTTAAGTCTAGAAACACGAGGATTCAGCTCTGTTTTCCTGGATCAAAAACCAACCCTGATAATTGGCAACATTGCGCGAGAAAAGCTTAACAGGCAAATTACACATTTTTACATGAGTACTTATTGCACTTAATTTGTCACATGTCACGCCGGGTCCATCAGTGTATTTTCTTGTCGGGCGTGTGTCATTCAGAAAACGGACTGATAATGTCTCAAACTTGCAAAGAATCGTTCACTCTGAAAGCGACTTAATTTGCGGATTCTTCGGTACCTGGTCAATTTCCCTCCAAAATCTATTCTTGCGCAGCCATGGCAATCTCATCATTGGCTCGCTCACTCATTTCTACAAAAAAACAGGATGGTGCCTTGGAGAGGGGGGGGGTGTAAGGCTCATTCGGCGATTATTTTACCCCCCACCCACAAAACCCTCTCGTTCAGCCCAGTTTTAAAGTGCATTGTGTTACTCCCTCTTTCGAATTTGAATTTCACGCTTGTAATCCTAGCTGTTGCTTTAGCCAGAGATCTATATCTTGTCATAGACTAAAAAATTTCACCCCCCCCAATGCCCTTGAATTGTGCAACCTGTCAGCTCATTAAACTATACGCATAAAAAATATTTATAAAATAGAAACGTTTGCTTTCATGAATGAGCCAGAAATTGCAGTTCCTCATTGCAAAAAGCAGTTCATTTCAGAAACCGAGTGACCCCGGAGTTCTGACTTGCAAAGGAATTATAATAGAAACAGGAAATGAATTACAAATTAAACTGTACAAAATCATTTAATTTTTTCCTCATTCATGCATTAAACAGGAAACAATATTGTTCGAATACAACAGTGACTATATGGAATTGTATTAGTGCGTTACCGAAAAAATATAGGTGGGTCCGAAAGTACCCATGCTTTGAGACGTGTTATTTTTTTTAACTCCATAAGAACTGATAAAAATTCCGCGACTTGGCAAAATCCGTCAATGACATTTTTTCTCCGTTAAAAAAATTTGGTTCCGTTAGTTTATTCGTTTTTTAACACGTTCATGCGGTCTTTTTCAGCGGTTGAAATTAGCTTTCAGCAATTCCATCTTAGTCATTCATGAAAAAGAAAAGACATTAATCTAGATTAGGAAGTATGTATTTGTCAATCACTTCATTATTGAAGACCCAGTCGAAATGTTCTACGCCATCTTGAATATACTTGATGAATCTCCCATCCTCATCGAGTGTTCGCAACCCGAACAAGTCCTCCGTGTATACTTCCCTTTGCGTGTAGTTTTCCACCGTGCCCAATCTATTGTAAAACGAAAAATCACTGGAAAAAAGTAAGTAAATGGTTGGGTCAGTTCCTAGCTGGATAAGTTATGGCTGATTCCTTAGTTACAACGACTACCAAAAAAAAAAAAAAAAAAAAAAAAAAAAAAAAAAAAAAAAAAAAATTGAAGCATTTTGAAAAGACAACAAAAAAAGAAATGTATTCAAAAGTTTTCAATAATTAATTTTGAAAAATATTTACCCATGAGAAATCAAATTCAACGAAAGAAGTGTTGAAAACTCTTTAAAAATCCATAAAGTATTCCGTGAGTGGTGTTTTTTTTCCTTTCAAAGTGTTAAAGTAATACCTCTTGAAAATCTTCAGTATAGTTCAGTAAATATTACAGAAAAAGATACCGGAATCGGTTTCATACTTCGCTTATTGATATCCGACATACCCAGATTGCCACGGGTCAATAACTCCATCTCCAGGCCCCTGAATGGCTACAAAGCGTTTGAGCTTGACGAAGGCCTCCTTGTAGGATTCGCTCCTCTCCGAGCGGATCCTGTTGTCATAATAAGGTAGGAATGTATTCTGCCGCAGGTAGAGTTGATCCTGGAAGGGGTCATGCCAATAATTGGCGATCGACAGGGTCCTTTGTGCGATCGGGTTGTAGAATAAGGCCGACCCCACGGTCAGCAGAGGAGGTAGTTCGACCAATGGCATCGGTTGTGGAATGATGGTTGGGATTCCTGAAAAATTGGAGAGTTTTTAATCAATGATCGCTCAAAGTTTAACCTCCTTGAGGTCGGTGAACTAATAATTTTCAAAATTATAATTAAATCTAGCAGTTTAAATTTTAATAAAAATGTTTAAACTTATAAATAAATTTACAATTTAACCCTTTTATCAGGCACTTAATTTATTTTTTAAGAAGGGTGCTAGTTAGTGAATTCTAAAATTGCATTTTAGCGTTATTATTTAAATAATAAAATATGAAAGTTTGAGCTTTTTCAACTAATCATAAAGATATTGGTGTTTCGATGTCGAAAGGCTCGATTTTAGAATCGATATCGAATGACCATAATTGATAAAAAAGCATTGCTAAGATAGGGATTTATCGATCTGGATCATTCGATAGAAATTCAACAATCGACCCGCTGGTACATTTAGAGTGCTATTTCTCGTGCGGATTTATCTATTAGTTCGTGATGGAACACTAGCCGGAGTAAAAAGTAAGTACCATAGTGTATCGATGGCTAAAGTGCAAAACCACGTGTCTCCATCGCGTTGTCTCAAAAACTCTGCTCTCATTTGCTTTTTTCAAAGAGGAAGAAGTCAACTGTTAAGCTTGAAATTCTACAGAATGCTCTACGAGTAGAGAAGAAAAATCAAAGAGGTTTGTAAGAAATTAAGTTGACTAGATTTTCAATGAAAAGACAATGTACATGACAGGAAATCTGCAACGTCGCACACGGAGATACGTGGCTCTGCACTTTTGCCATCGATGTTTTACCACACCAAAAGTTAATATAGAATACACTGAATGCACTTATACTTTCCGAATCCAACTCATCAATTAGAATTTTTTTTTTTTTTTTTTTTTTTTTTTTTTTTAAATGTCGATTCATACTTCCCGTGAAAAATCAAAATATTGTCATCTCCCGGCCAAAGGATCACAAGCGTTAGGTATTTGACGATTAAAAATTTCCGCCGCCATTTTATTTTTTCACAGAGGAATTGTTCAACAAAGCTGTCCGAAAATTTCACTGAATTTTCTTTGTGCTGGCAAAAAAAATCGGTGAAATTTTGAAACAGATTTAACCAATAACTTCTCTGTAAAATAATAAAATAGTGGACATTTTGAAAAGTCGCATGGTGCTTGTAATACTTGGACCGGCGCGGAAGGTGACTTTATGCGTTTTACGACGACCAGCGACCGCACTGTGTTTGGCGCAAAGCGAGAAGTACAAATATTTCTGCAGTCGAGCGTCGACCTCTGTAATGTTTTTCCGAGAAATTATACTCCAGTTGAACGATATATTTTAGTCATATTGGGCATTAATCTACTTTCGGTGTATTTTATGCTATGAGAACCCTTCCATACGGTGATTTGTTTATTACTCACTTATTTCTAAAAATCTGTAATTATTAACTTTTAAGTTAGTCCTCTCAGAACTTGGAAATGAATGTTGCGACCCATAACTATTTTGAACTCACCGTATTGACCTGCTTGGGGTCCTGCAATGGAGATAAAGTGGCGGACATTGTGCTGAGGGTAATTCTGAATCAGCGTCCGACATATCAAAGCCCCTTGTGAATGTCCTGAGAAAACGGCACGGATCAATCAGAAATAAATGGATCAACATTTTGATGAAAAAACCCCCAGATCACTGCTTGCCTACTCATCATGAACAGAGGCAATACGATTTATCCTTGATATTTTACGCTTTAAATTCGATTAATTACACCATACAGAGGAGTCAGACATATTTATTTAAATGTACGTTAAGTCAAACTGATTCGTGCTTTCGCCGCGTAATGAGAGTACAGAGCTTAGACAGTTATAATCTTCAAAGAAGATTTGAAAAATGTAAAGATATTAATACTATTAACAATTTTAGTGTCCAAAATTAAATAAATTAAACCATGACTTCATTCATGTTTTTAATAATATTTATTTTTAGAAAGCCCCGAAGTATTAATCATCAAGAAAGGTGGATTAGAATTATTAAATAATACTCAAATTTTGCACAAAATAATGTAAATGTGTGAAAATGTTCTGGGTATATCGTTTTGGCGAGAGAGATAAGGAGGAGGGGAATCACAACATAACACAAGGATTTACGATCCCGTAATTACTTAAGCGAAAAGATCCCCCTTCATTTCACAGGGTAGGCAAAAAGGGACATTAAATTTTGGTTCTGAATTACTACACTCAATACGGATATTTTGATCAAACTCTAGATCATCGTGTTTTTCGATCAAAGTTGATAGATAAATGAAGGGCTTGGAGGACAAGGCGCATAAGTGCAGGTTGTTTTTTTTTTTTATTGATTAATTAATGATTTCACGTAAAACTTGTCTTTAAGGCATAATCTCTGAAAAATTCGTCTCCAATTCCAATTTTCAAGTGTCAAAAAGTCAGTTCGAACTTTCTTTCCACCATAAGGATCCACGTACTTTCAAACCTTCGTGTTCATCGAAATAGTGAAAACTGCACTATATGCGCCTTGCCTAGGCTGCCTTGCTAAGGAAGAACGGCGTATGAGCCTTCAGGCGTTGCCAAGTTTCATTCGATAAAAACCGAATTTACTGGGAAAATTTTTAATATTTTTTTCCAACATTTTCAGACAATTTTGTACGTAATTAACTCCAAAATATCTGAAAATTTCAAAGAAAAATGTGCGTAAATTTCGTCAAAAATACATGTTATATCGGAGGAAATTTGGCAACTCTCGAATGTTCATACGGCGTTCTTCCTTAGCACGGCACTCCTTGCCCTCCAAGCCCCTCAAATGTTCTTGGAGAGGGCTCCAGGTGTCATCCCTCCCCCAACCCCAGAAAAAGGCAAATCTAGTATCCTTGATTGTGGATGTCGGATGTCACTTATGTGGATTGTGGTTTTCTTGGAAAATTTGCTATTAATACCCTGTTTTATGGATGCATAAGTTGACCTCAAGGAACACAACCAGAATGCGTAATTTTTACCGATTAAGTGGAATCCTTCAGGATGAGCGTCAGAAAAATTCTTAAATTCTTGTCCCAATGTCCCATCGAGTTGCTGCTGGAGCGGTGTCAGGCTTGCTAATCCCGAGTACGCATATGTGTTGAATACAAGTGTTCGCGGGTTATTCTAGAAAGGTATGATAACAGTGGCGTGGCGTGAATTGCGATGTATCGATTGTTATGCCATTTAAACCTATGGTAAAGAATCGATTATTAAGGTGTTCGCTGCGAACACCTTGTTTATCGATCCTTTTCCATATGTTTAAATGGCAGATCAATCGATGTATCGCAAAGCACGCCACGCCACTGTATGATAATTAAGCTAATTCATTTCGAAAAGGGCCACATTGGTTTAAAAATAAAGAGGGGAAAATATGAGTTACCTAGTTACTTTACAATTCACATGGGACTCATGTCTTGGCTCTTGTCTACTAACGACAAATAATCGCACCAGCTATGGTCCATTTCCCATAACTTCAAAATTATATTTCGCTAATAAAGCAGGAGAGAATTCAAACATGAGTAAACAAGGCTACCCTGATAAAAATTGACAGTAGAATCTGTGTTCCAAAATACCATAGACCTACAGCCGGCTGTAAGATTTCCCATAGCTTCTATAGCCGGCAACACAATTTCTTATAGCCTTTTATAGCCGATGGCGATTAAGCAACAGCCTGGCGATAAAGTGTATGCTAAACATTACTAATTACGGATGCTAGGACTTAGTGAGTTTTTGGACTACCGTTCTCTTTTTGGGCCGTAGTATCTTGATTTATTTTGCGAGGAAAGCTCCGTACTTTTGAGGGATGCCTACCATTCCTAATATGTTGGAGCGCCTTCAATTTCGTATGATACTGTGCAATACCTCTGGTGTGAAATAGTTGCTTCAAGCGCTGTGGTACGCTGCGGCGCGGCGCGGCGGGCGGGCAGCCAGCGCGAAACGGCGCCTACAAACCTAACAGGGATACTTCACGCATTGCTCAATGCGTGAAGTATCCCTGTTAGGTTTGTAGGCGCCAGTGCGCCGCTGCTCCGCTTTGTGTTAGGCTCTAAAATTTAATCTCGTGAAGTCAGCGTTTTTCAACTCATGACTTTGAAATGTTTGCACACTATGTATGGATTATTCTCATTTTAATTGATGAAAAAAATATGTAGTAAAGGAAAATATAATGTGCGTTTTGTAAATATTTTCTAAGGTGATTCCGTACAAACTTAAGGATTTACAAAGCACACGAATTTCTACACAATTTCTTGTAGCCTCTTATAGCCGATGACGAAAAAGCAACAGCCAGGCGATAAAGTGTAAAGCCCGGCGATAGGAACTATAGCCCGGCTGTATGATTTTTTATCGCTTCGTGTAGCCCGGCCGTATGATTTTTTCCACTTTCTACAGCCAGCTATATGATTTTCTATCGCCTTCCTCAGTCGGCTATAAGAACTCCTATGCTATTTTGAAATGCAGCTCCTATCGCCAATTTTTACCAGGGAAAACATTAAAAAACTTAAAGGCAGGACGTTTCGAGCTGTTACCAGCTCATTTTCAGCTAAAAAAACACAAAAAACAAGTAAGAAGTACGAGACACACAAAACAAAAAACAAGAGCTGGTAACAGCTCGAAACGTACTGCCTGTTAGTGTTTTTAATGTTTTAGCCTTGTTTACCCATGTTTTAGTTCTCTCCTCCTTTATTGGTATATTCGGGCTATGTTTTTGCTTTATCGTTCTATTTCACTCAACATTGTATTTATTCCATTTTGAATTTTCTTGAAAATTTACGATTTACTTAAATGGCTCGCATTGATTTTATAAAAAATTATCGAAAATAACCTGGATCAAGTTGACCATTGAATTTTCGGTTTCTATCATAAAAAATAAAAACATGTGCAAATATTGTGTTCTCAGCCATAGTCATCCGTTAATTAAATACAGCACGTCTGTAAATTTTTCACTTGCCAGGAAGCTTATTATTCTTTGCCGATGTTCATTCTAATATTAAATGAGAGAGTAAAAATCACAAGTTTAATTTATAAATACCTGTATTATCCTAGCTGCCAGGTAGGCCAAATTATTTCCGCTGACTAATATTCCGTGAACCAAAAACACCGGCTTAGGGTTCTCCGTGGGGAATTGAAATTGTCCATAGCACATTCCAGCTAACCGCAGAAACGCACAGAGAGGAAGCCAAACTCTTGTCTGTCTTATTTGGGTCATTTCTATTTTTATTGCTACAAATCCGAAAATTTTAATAGTTTCTGAAAAAATGTTCCTACTACCTATTCAATGTTTAAAACCTGTCCTTTTCAAATGTAAGTAAATCTTGTTAAAATACGCGCGTAGGTAATTTTTATATAGTTTTCTGTATAGTTTCAAACATCGTTATGTTTTCTTACGTACCCATATTTACTAATATAAGCAGTTGGTTTGTAATTTTATCCCCCAAACGCAAAGTAGAAAATTGAGTGCAACTGAAAGACGTAACCGAATCGGTTTGTTTATTCTCATCCGGTTGAGTTCAATTGGTCCGCTTTAACATCCAATCTGAAAATTAAGTATTCAAGGAGAATGCATTTTTCCTGGTTTGATGTCATTTACTGGGTAATTGTGGTAATAATTGAGTAAATGCATTTTACAAACATTATCAAGGCCGCTGCTCATTTTGATACCCAAGTCAAGGTCATCGGTGGCAAAGACGTCGAAATAGACAACGGCTGGCTCATGTTCGCTGCTGATAAGCTTTGCGTTACACGAGGGGCGTTCGGTAATTCTTTGCACCTGCTTTGCCATCCCCACATGAAAAAAGGGAGAGAGCAAGAAAAAAAAACTAAAGATATTTGGGGAATACGGAACATATTTGACAAGTCTGCATAAACCACAACTCATTTCATTCATTCGTGCCCGAGTGCCGGGTACTAAAGCCATTTTAGTGCAATTAGTCTTCGTAATACATAGCAATACGTTTGGCCTCGTTTGAAACTGAGGCCGTTCTCTTTTCAATATTGATGTAAAATTCTATATTTGTAATTGAATCATTTGTTTATTATTTAAAGCATATACTTCACTTTTTAACATGGAATATTTCCATTTCCATAAGTATGCCTCATGGTTACAATGTCAGGTGGGATTCTTCACCCTCACCCCCACCATAGAATAGCGCTTGTATTTCGCGAAGATTATATACTTTGAGTAATTCTTGAAATAGTACTTTCATCTAGAACTGGGGGGGGGGTGCCCCCAACCTGTTAGTGCCCCGTAATGACACCTGAGCCGTTATGCGTTAAGCGTCACTGATTATTTTTTATGACGCATTTATGATTTAATATTATATAGAATGATAAGGATATGTCTTGATAGTACAGCACTTCATTCAACAGAAGTTTCGGAGTAAGCAGTGCACATGCCACTTTCATTGACACTCAACTGCAGTTTTTCCATGCACTGCGCATCACAATTTTTGTTTCCTACCATCAAATCTGCTTGGAACTGGGAGGACACTTGACAGAAAAGTACAAAAAGAATTTCACAACGCAATAAAATGATTTAAATTATGTTCCTTGCGCGAACTATAATTTGCAATAAACACCTAATATTTCTGACTCGTTTTCGGTTCTCATTTTATTCATTGAATGCGTTTTTATTTTCCGTCGATTTACGTTACATTTCTATGAGCTTTCGTGGTACCAAGCTGATTCTCACTTTTGACCGTTTCTTCTTTAATGACGTTTTGGCATGAAATGGTTAATGTGACGCCATTCAATTTGCTTAGAGCTACATGCCAAATTTTCTAGAAGAATTTTTGCATTTCTTGGAAAACTGATGTTCTTTTGTCAACTTTGCGGAGGATTTGACTCATGATTTAATCCAGATAACTTAAAAAAATATTCAAATCAACTTTGCGAAAGTTAATCAGTGTTTTAATTCTCCAAAAAATCACCTAAAACTATACGGTTTATAATACAATCTTATAGTACGTGCTGTAGGGAGTGATACCACTATTCGACCTCCTGAGCGCTCGGTGTGCCTATACAATTCATTGAAGGCGTTTTTAATTTCCGTCGCTCCACGCTTAATTCCTATAAATTGACAGAGTAGATTAACTTAAATCTGTATATGGTATGTGAATTTGTAACATTGCATAGTCGACAGCTTATAAATCGATCAGGAAATGCAATGCTTCTTCGCAGTTCTTTGGGACATCTGTGGACACTATTTTAATACTTTATTACATGCAGTTCGGGTCACGTTTTTAGTATTTTTTCTTGTTTCAATAAATCATCAATTTCTCTTCAATTTATGTCTTTAATTACATTAAGTCGAGTGATTATTACCTTCTGCAAGGTACCTTCAAGTAACAATTAACAAAACAATACTTATAGTGACTAAAAATCACAGACAAAATTCTGAAACTTCCTCAACCATCCGAAACACAAAACAACTGCACCAACCAAATCACTGACCACACATTTCCCAAAGAACTGCGAAGAACCATTGCATTTCCTGATCGATTTATAAGCTGTCGATAATGCATTGTCACAAATTCACATACCAGATACGAGATTTGAAAGTTAATGCCCCCGATAACGGACCGCAATTTTTCTTTCAGTTGGTGTTTTAACTGTGGTCAGTGTCAATGCATTATCGAGTAAATCATTACAACTCTATTCAAGTAAACTCATATTGGCTAATTTGACGGAATTTGTTGGTTTTAAAGACTTATTCAGCAGTAAAAGGTATCGTGTCCTAAGAGTTGAAAGGAGGAATAGTGTCATAAATATGAATTACATAGATTAGGAAAGCTGATGGGCCAGGCACGGGTATATGGCTGGACTTCCAAAAGAAAACTTCATTTTAGACGCCAGTTAGAGGAAATCAAAGAAAAGGAAGAAAAGCTACCAGATGGACGAAGTTTGAAGAATTCTGACAATAATTTAGCAAATAGGGCCGTGGATCGGGCGGAAAAAGTGATCAGAATCTTACGAGTTCCTGTCCCCAAAATTCTCAAAACCCTTAAAGCGCAACTCCGAGTATACCGCCGTTTTTTTTTTTTTTTTTTTTTTTTTTTTGAAAATCGTTCTTCGTTCTTAAATTTTGGTCCAACCTGATGGGTAAAAACACACAGTTAGTAAGAGATTGCTTTACTTCACTAAGGATGGTCCAACGTTTCAGAAAAATACGATTTTCTGAAATGCGTTGAGGCCGTAACACCGGCAAGGTCAACATTGACACCATTACGAAATGACGGTGTGCGATGGTAAAAACTCCCGGCGTACCCGAGTTTGGGACGCCGCATCGGCAGGTCATTCTGCAGTTTGTTTGAGTCAAATAACCTCTTTTACCATCCAGAGAAAATTGGTTAGCCTGTCATTGAATCCGATCAACATCTTCGTATTCAAGGGTCAATGACTCGGCAATCCATGATATTTTAAGTTATATGTCACTATTCTTGGATGACACGAATCATACAGATCGTATACGTGTAACCTCTTTTGTTCTATCCTATTGAAATTATTGCACTGAGATTGAATTATGAGAATGATAAGGGAAAAGAAGGACTGAGCTCTGTGAAGAGGAAGCAACCTCTACGTTCAGTATATTTAGTCAGGTTTGGATTAAGACGGTTAAGACACGGCACTTGAATGCATGACTAATTGCTCGATGGAGGAATGCAGGCACTCTCTAGGCTCTTAAAAAATCGTGTGAAGAGTTTGGAAGATCGCGCTTGTTCAGTGACGCACCGAAGATCCAGTGTCCCATGAAATGTTTGACAGTGATTGCAGTATATCAACAACTTAAGTATTTACTGCTTTGACCATTCCCATATCCTAGTTATATAACGCTGGGGCGAAAATTTTAAAACCAAAAAAAAAACTCCATGTATCTGCAAATGATACAAATCCACCGGGAAAAATAGCTGTCTATTCGAAAAACAAACAGTTATATGCTGCAGCGTGCTGTAACCGCATCATTCTAATGCACGTCCGCATATTGGTTGAATATCGTCGACTGAAGTTCGCCTTCAATTTTGCAGCATAGGCAAGAAACCTACCGCGGAGCACGAATAGTTATCTCTTCGAAAAATGTGCATTCTATGTCCAGCTTCATAACCTTTAACTGAACTGGCTTTAGATTCCTCATCCCCGTAGCACGTGCCACAAATTTTTTTTATATTAATTTTTTATTCATTTTTATTATTTTAGTTTTTTTAGTGATTAGGATTAATTCGTCCGATTACTAAAACACAATTTACTTATTCTTTGTGAATCGCCTATTCTAAACTTATCAAGGTACAGTATCGTGTTATTTCACCTTTTTTGTTGCATAACTCGTTTGTTGAAATCATATATTTAACAGCATACTGATTTAGTTTACTCAATAAATTGTACTGATTTTGACCGCGAACAAGCAAACCTATGGTATTTAATGTGCCGTAAATTATCCGAACTGAAACTTTCTTTTAAAAAACCTTTCTGGGTTGCATATTAGACACTCGTGCTCGCAAAATGACTGTATAAAGGGTGAATTCTTACATTGAAGTATGGTTCTTTTGAGGCTAAGGCCATTTTTCGGAGGAGGTACCCTTTGGGGGGGCCCGGCCCCCCAGACTGCGCCTCTGAGCCCAAAAATCCAAAACCGGCCCTGGGTAAAAGAATTCATATAGATCTGGCATAATGTGTGGCTAAAAATGACACTCCCTTTGCTTGTTACATTGGGCACCATTCTTTTAACTCCAACGTAAAAATAACAAACACTCCTGGAGACGGAGGAAGATATCTTCAGCATCGGAATGCAAGATTGTTACACGATTAAAATTCCTCTATTTCAATGACTCTTAAAACTCACACAGAAATATTTATGCAATTTCCTCGACGGAAAAACTGTGTTTCATCCGGGTTAAAATAGTTTTAACATACCCAATTCGGCAGAATTATTTTTACTGTATGATTTATTGTCGAAGGGATTTTTAGTCCGTTGCGTTCAAAGGGCTGGGTATCTTTGCTTACGTTACGAAACGTTGTAATGGATAGTTTGATGAGAAAAAATACGTTTTAAAGGTTTTATTCTTACCCTGTCGTGTGGTCCATTTAAGAGACTATGAATTGTATAGTATTTTTCACTTTCTCTTTTTTCTCGAAGTTAAAACATTTGCATAAATAAAAGGAGCATGGGTAGGGATTAGATCTGCGTTTTGTACTTGCATGTTCAAAATATTGTTGATGTAGCTTATTCTATAAGGATAGCTCTTTGCTGTCTTATTTTAGGGTGCCGGATTGACTTTTGCATTTTAATGGAAAACAAATCTGTGCTCTTGAAAAATTAGAGAGATCAGCACAGAGAGTAGATTTTTACGTAACTTCACGCAGAGTACAAGAGACTCCTCCCTCCAGTCACCGCCACGCACTCAAGCTGGCTCAATTCGTCGGTTGGCGGACATAAGGGCGTAACTACACATTGAGATGAGCCCGGAAAAGCATTGAATTGTATGGAAGACAGGGTTCATTGCAGAGTGTAGTTACGCCCTTATGCCCTT